GGGGGGGGGGGAGCTGAACACTCCTCTGTTTTCGCGGTTAACATTTGTAATAGTCTAGACCTTGACTTTCTATGACGAAATTATTTCAGATGCATATGTAGAAGAATATGATAGAACCACCACTCCTTCGTCGGTTCCGTGCACTTCGCCAAGGTACAAGAGGCAATTGAAGAGTTATCCTTTTTGAGTCCTTCTCCTGTTATACGATTTGTGGAACCCCCCTTCTCCAATAAATTTATAACACAACCCTGTTATAACTATATAATATTATTAGGTTAGGTTAAGACAATTAGTTATTTACAAGAGAACGGTTTCCCCCCCCCTTTCAGTTTTGTGCAGAGAGCTTATTTGTTATGCATGGTCAAAGTTGGACATGTGGCCGCAGCGCCCGGTCCCCTATCTTGTCCTAGTCGCGGCGCTGGGCCTCTTAAGGGCCTGTCCTAGCCGCAGCGCTCGGCCCAGAAGTTGTCTTATCTAACCTAACTTTGAAGTAACAGAACTTAAATATGATTTTGTTGAAAAATATCTGTCATGTAATAAATTGATCGAGTGCTCTGGCAAGGACAGGGAAGGGCGGCTGAGCGCTGTGGCCACCCTTATCATCTTAAAATGATTGTGAATATACGATAAGCGACAATTTCCTAGAGAACGATTTTTGGACCCCCTCCCCCCGGCCACTTACTCCTATTAATTTTGAACATGGATCTTATATGTAACACATCGACATAATTGGTCATGTGGCCGCAGCGCCCGGTCCCTTAGTCTGTCCTAGCCGCGGCGCTCGGCCCCTTAGCCGCAGCAGCTCTCAGCCCCCTAGACTGTCTTAACCTAACCTAACCCTAAAATAATAAAAGATAAATAATGATAATTTTACTGAACAAAAAGTGGTCATGTACACAATTGAAAAGAGGGGGGGGGGGTTCAAAAATCGTTCTCTAGGACAAACCCTGATATGCATTGAAATTGTCAAAATTTATCTCATTTTTAGTTACATCAAACTGGTATGCACTTTGCTATTTTCTCGTTTTTTAGATGCTAACAAGAGATGTTTTAAACAAGACAGATTAATTATGTGAAGACTAGTTGCGTGAGATCCATGTATTGACTTAGGCGTAGCTTTTGACTTTTGATGATACATAGGAAAGACCATATTTAAGGATGAGAACATGTTAAATTCGATTAATGGGTTAAAGTATTTGAAACTTAAATATTTAAAAGTTTTTAAGACTTTTAAAACCTTTTGATTTTTCATTTTCTGTAGCTAGAATTTCCTTTTCAAAAAATGTAGTTGCATGTCATCCAATTAGACCAAAATTTGTGAGAGAAATTTTTGCGATGCATACAGCGTTTCACCGTAAGAGAAAAATATGAAAAATATTGAAGGAAAACCAAGACGGCGTTTCATCAAATGAATTGAAGGTCATAATAGAAATAAATATATTTAAAGGCGCTTCACCAAAAAATTAGAGGTTGTCTATGACGGACTATTCTTTCTCCAAGTACCATGAAAGATGGATATTCTGAGCATTTAATGCAGTAGTACTCGTCCTTCTTGTGCTTGAGCCTGAGATTCCCGTAGTTAGGTTTCTTGGATTGGATGAAGGACTTGATTTACGATTCCTGGTTATTTCCTCTATTTCCATTGCTGGGAGGGTATCCGGGTCCAGGTTTACAGCAGGATATAAGTCTGTTCCGTAGCCAGGAGGGATTTTTGGCGGGGCATAAGCAGTGTTGAAGGCGGGTGGAATAGGCGGATGTCCAGGACTCGAGTAGTTCCGATCCATCTGCAACATGTTAATATTAATTACAGAGAATGTAAGATGTGTATTGTTGGTGGTAAAAGTTATGATTCTTAAATTATAATTGGACAGCATATGAACAATAGGAAATGGCTGAAATTGTTTAATATAGATTTTAAATTAATTCCCGCGAAAATCAATTCTATATTGAGGATCTGTTAAGTAGGCCATTCTTTTATCAGTTTTGTACGCCATAAAAGTAACATTGAGTTCGAATTTAAACCAGTTAATAAATGCATTTAGAGCCAGATTTTTGTTCATACACCTGCACTTCCATATATAGTATTTAGTATATATTATGAGAAGATTGTTAGACGAGAAGATGGGAATATTTCTGAATCCAAAAATGAAGTCCTTTTTTTGCTGGTATCAAACGTATATCAGTCCAGTTAGGGATGAATATACTATACACCTCTAGTATTAATGCATTAACCAGTGTACATTCGTAAAATAAGTGCGATATAGATTCTATTTCAACCTGGCAGAATGTACATTCTTCTCTAATTCCTCTCTATTAAATTTAGAAACAATCCTATTAGTTTTAAGTGTGCCTCTAGTTATTTGATATTGAAACCATTTAAGTTTGTTATCAAAAAATAAATTTTTATTAACACCGAGATTTTATTGATAATGATATTTTATATTTTTGTTCACCATTAAGCATATTCTATTTGTTTAACAAGCTCTAGGAACTGTCAAAATGTGAATTTTTCTATACATGCTGCGTACTATGTGTATTCCCAGAATATTTTACACTTTGATAAATTTTAGCTTTTCAGTCAGGAGGGAAAAAATCGTTCTCTAGGACAAACCCTGATATGCATTGAAATTGTCAAAATTTATCTCATTTTTAGTTACATCAAACTGGTATGCACTTTGCCTTTGTTTTTCATTCTAAGGTTTATGATTCCTTACACAAAGCTATTATTATGTATTAAGTGCTTAAAATGTTAATGTTTGTTTAGATTTGAATCTGAAACCTCAATCCTTGTATTCATGTGCATTTTAGTTCTTAAAAACATCTCCGTAGATCGTAGGTAAGTTGAAATTATTAGAAATTGTGTTTTTTTTTAATCTTAAAACATAGAAGTCAATTTAAAATACGTTAATATAAATAACGTAGATGAATGTTTAACTTTTAATTATTGCTCCATCTGCGGCAATTTCTTGGTTTAAAATATCAAACTATTTTACAAATTTTTTCGTGGATTTTGTTAAAAAAAATGAAGGCAAATCTTTCAATTCTGAACACCCGTAAACATCCATAGAATTTGGACCCGGTAGTTTCAGCTGTATTTCGTTTATTGTTTAATAAAAGTGTAATTGTTATTGAATGTTGATGCTATTCAAATATAAGATAATCTTAATTTTCTCCAGATCCCAATCAGCCAACTGTTTACAGACCAGCAATATGAAGGCGCAAAGTAGAGCAACTAGGTAATATTTTACAGGGGGTACATATTTTCTTAGCACCCCCCCTCAGTAATATACGACCAAAAAGAAATCGTAGGTACAAAAACTATGAAGGTAAGCAGAAAACAAAATACCAAAAAACCAGAAAAAGAGGCGATTCGCATGTAAGTAACCAATATTTTCTCGTTTTTTAGATGCTAACAAGAGATGTTTTAAACAAGACAGATTAATTATGTGAAGACTAGTTGCGTGAGATCCATGTATTGACTTAACCCCACCTTTCCCTTTTGCTAAATGTTAACCTTAGTTGACAAAAATATTAGATTGGGGCAAATTTCAAGGTAGTGAGTAATATAAGAAAAATCAAAATAATTATTTTTTTCTGCTTCGAATACTCTGTATTTCAAAAAGCAATTTAAATCTCAATTACATTTTTACTGATATTTTGAAAGAACAAAAAATTCTTTGTCCTTGTTTTACTCTCTAATTGTTTAGGTCTAAGAAACTGGTGAGAGTTGGATATTTCGATCTTAGTAAAACCCTGGGTGAGTAACCTTTAAAACCTTAACTCAAATATTTGTTATTAAATGATAATTTATTTATTTAATTAAGGCACGGGTAATTTTGCTGTAGTGAGACTGGGAACCCATAGATTAACCAAAACTCATGTAGCCGTCAAGATCGTCGATAAAAATGAACTTGACGCCGAAAACCTGCAAAAAATCAGCCGAGAAATAGAGATTTTGCGTCGGCTCTCACACCGACACATCACACAGTTATACCAAGTGATGGAAACGTCAGCTTTTATTTACATCGTCACAGAGTACGCAGCAAACGGAGAGATTTTCGATTTTCTCGTGAACAATGGACGAATGAGTGAACCGGCTGCCGCTGTTAAATTTTCTCAAATTCTAAGCGCTGTAAACTACATTCACAGTGTAGGGGTTGTGCACAGGGACTTGAAGGCCGAGAACTTGTTGTTGGACAGAGACTTCAACATCAAGCTCGCCGACTTTGGCTTCTCCAACTATTACAAGGAATGTCAATATTGTAAAGATATTCCTTCACAATCATATTTGTAACTTTAAAATGATAATTTTTTATGGAAACTAAATCCGATTTTTACTGAACATTTTTTTCTTGTAATTTGATTTGAATTAAATCGAAAATTTATGTTTTAACTCGCAAAATCAAGCATTTTTTAGTGACATTTTTTTGTAAAACAATCTTATGATGAAAACGTCTAAATCTGAACAAAATATTTTCGTGAAGGCCGGAGAAAATTTATCTACATGGTGTGGGAGTCCTCCATATGCTGCTCCTGAACTATTCCAGGTCAGTTTAGGATATTAAAAGGACTGTGAATTTAATTTCAAATGATCTTTCATTCCCCGATCCACAACGATACCCTTTACAACTTTAACTGATCAAGGATCCACAACAGTACCCTTTAAACCTTAAACTGATCAAGGATCCACAACAGTACCCTTTAAACCTTTGACTGATCAAGGATCCACAACGATACCATTTAAACCTTTAACTGATCAAGGATCCACAACAGTACCCTTTAAACCTTTGACTCATCAAGGATCCACAACGATACCATTTAAACCTTTAACTGATCAAGGATCCACAACAGTACCCTTTAAACCTTTAACTGATCAAGGATCCACAACAGTACCCTTTAAACCTTTGATTGATCAAGAATCCACAACAGTACCCTTTAAATCTTTGACTGATCAAGGATCCACAACGGTACCCTTTAAACCTTTAACTGATCAAGGATCCACAACAGTACCCTTTAAACCTTTGTCTCATCAAGGATCCACAACAGTACCCTTTAAACCTTTGTCTCATCAAGGATCCACAACGATACCCTTTAAACCTTTAACTTATCAAGGATCCACAACGGTACCCTTTAAACCTTAAACTTATCAAGGATCCACAACGGTACCCTTTAAACCTTAAACTTATCAAGGATCCACAACGGTACCCTTTAAACCTTAAACTGATCAAGGATCCACAACAGTACCCTTTAAACCTTTAACTGATCAAGGATTCACAACAGTACCCTTTAAACCTTTTATGATCAAGGATCCACAACGGTACCCTTTAAACCTTAAACTGATCAAGGATCCACAACAGTACCCTCTAAACCTTTAACTGATCAAGGATCCACACATTGCGCTTAAAACCTTTGACTGATCAATGATCCACAACGGTACCCTTTAAACCTTTGATTGATCAAGGATCCACACATTACCCTCTGAAACTGATTGATCAAGGATCCACACATTGCGCTTAAAACCTTTGACTGATCAATGATACTCAACGGTACCCTTTAAACCTTGATTGATCAAGGTCGGCAACAGACTTTTTCTTGATATATATACAGAAAAGCTTGAAATTGAGCACTGTTATAAAATATAAGGAATATAAATTTTACTTTCTAGAAGTGACAGAATAAAAATATTCACATTCCAATCTTGAAAACCGTGTTATAATATTTAAGATTTTCCAGGAATAAATGTGACGTCAGCAGTGGTAAGTGTAAATGGTATGCTAGCGTACACTCCAATTTTGCGACTTTTTCACGATGCATTTAAGAGATCTCTGTCCTCGGTGATCAGTGAAAGGTTTAAAAGATACGGTTATGTATCATAGAGGTCCTTCTTTATATGAGAAATCGTTAGAAATCACGCTCTGATGTAATAACTAACAGAATGCACATTGCAATTTTCGTGACGGGAGAAAGTCACATTGTGTAGATGGCGACACTATCTTTGAAAATAATAATTGGCAGATCTGGGATAATAATTAAATTTTATTTTTATGTTTTAAGTTTTTTTGCCAAAAAATTGCGTTTTTGTTAATATTTTGTTTTATGAAAGATAAAATTACTAAATTTCTTATCCATTATAGCTTTCGTTGCCAAAAAAAAATAACATTTTAAAAAATATGCTTAAAAAATTTATTTACTTAGGGTAAAGCGTATGATGGTCCTCGAACAGATGTTTGGTCTCTAGGTGTGATTTTGTATGCTCTAGTGTCAGGTAGTCACAGTTTTGATTCAAAACAGTTTTGAAATTTGATCCGTATTGTAAGAATTATAATAATTTAAAATTTACGATTTTTTTGTACGTTAATTTCTGTATTAAACTTACCCCCAAAAATAAAAAAATCATTGAAAAATTTTTTTTTTAGGATCTCTCCCTTTTGATGGACAGACCTTGCAAGATCTAAGAACAAGAGTGGTCAGTGGACAGTTCAGGGATTCAGCTCTAGACCTTAAGCATGTTTTATTCTACGGTTACTAACAAAATCAATTATACAATTCAAATATTTGGATTTTTATTTTAACATTTAAATAGTTCTGAATATTTACAGAATACCTTTCTTCCTTTCACAGGAGTGTGAAAACCTAATCAGGTAGCAAAACTTTTTTTTAATCAGGGGTGTTTATTTTCCAAAAAATAAATCCCCACCTTTTAGAAAATCATTTATTTTCCCCAGAAGTTGGATTTGGTTGCACGGAGCGGCAATAAAACGTTCTGGGGTTTTCGGTGAATCGGGGAAAATATATGAATTTTCAGGGAAATAAATCATTTTTTGGGTTAACAGTATTAAAAAGAATGAAAAAAATTTAGTTTTTTCCCTCGATTCATCAAAAATAATTCCCCCCCTCCTCTTTGGGGCTGGATGTGGGGGGGGGTGTAATTTTGAGAAATCTACACCCCTGACATTTTTTATTAGACACGAAAAATTAACTTGAATAATTGAGAAGGTCTAACCAGTGACCTTAGAAAAACATATTTAGACAACCCTGAGACATAGACGCACCTTGGACAAGATAAAATATAGACAATACATATCATTGACATGACTTATCATAGACAAGACAAATCATTGACATGACTAATCACGGAGAAGACATACTTCAGACTAAAAAATTCCTTGACAAAAACCAATTCTTGACAGAAACAAAACCTTGACAGAAACTAACTCTTGACAAAAACAAAACCTTGACAGAAACTAACTCTTGACAGAAACAAAACCTTGACAGAAACTAACTCTTGACAGAACCAAATCGTTGAAACACATCCTTGACGGATACAAGCCCTTGAAACTTATTTTTAAGAAACTAATCATGAAGAGTAACTAATCACGAAGAGAAACTAATCCAAGATTATTAAATTGTGTAGACAACAAGTCTTTACATGTAAATATTGCATACCCTTAATGGCAGTTGGATCCATTTACAAATACGAAATTATTTTAGATGTATGCTGGTTGTGGAGCCTAGTAAACGTTTAAGTGTTCAGCAGATATCTAGACATAAATGGATTAAACTAGGCAAACATACAGTCTTACTTTACACCATGCTTTTTATTCTCAAGTAGTGTTCACAAACCGTAGCTTTCAGTTCATGTTCATAAATTACAGTTTTATGGGGTCTCCTGCAGATTTCACTTCCTTATGATTCCTTCCTTCCTTATGTAACCTTTCAATATTATTATGCTGTCTGAAGTTCACGTACATTGCCCACAATGAAGTCAAAGTACTACTCGTGTACTACTGTTTACAATGTACTTTATTGATAACTTTACTTTCTCTAGGTTTTTTTTTACCTATAGTCAAGTTACCAATCAACTGTGATCTACGTCTACTATGTTTAACATGTCTACTGTCGAATATTGAGTACTGTTTTTTTTACTGTCTACTACGGTCTATTGTGTAAATTACCTATTGTCTAGTGTCAAACTTTGTCAATTATCTTAAATATGACTGTGTGTCCCCTGGATTAGGTTTAGGAGATGAGTACATGAATCTTGTCTCAGAGATGGAATCTATATCGGAACCTCTTATACTCAACACAGAGGACCATTATCTTGAACAGGAAACATTAATATCACAGATTGATAACACCCCAAAACTTGCCAAACTCCTGCATTTAAAAGATTCCCAAATCCCGATTATTCCCTGTTTTCCTCAAAAAGATCTTCTCTCAAAATAATAAAAACTGTATATTAAATGATGATTCAATTTAATTAATTTTTCAAAAACAGTTTTTATATTTGTGTGGTTGGGAAAAATATAATATCAAAAGTTGAGAAAAAAAATTCAACATGAAGGTTTTAAACGATAGTTTTTTTATCATAACACTGACTTGAACCTCCTTTCTTAAAATTGATGTTCATTGTACAGGTTGCATCTCTATTAGGTGTACACCCAACTCAAGTACGAGATTCTGTTGTACATAACAAGTGTGACGACCTCTCCTCTATGTACCACCTTCTCCTATGCAACGCCAAGCTGGCAGAATCCGACCGATTTATCGGAGAAATGCCTCCCCTCTCCCCCACCGTTCTTTTACAGTCGGATCATGTGACAGAGATATTCACAGACCAGGAGAACTCAACGGTCGAACAAACTGAGGTTCTTAACCCTAAAGGGGGTCGGAGGCACACACTTGGACCTAGTGGTCATCCTGTAGGTATACCTCCTTCATTGCCATTTGATTTCAACACTGTTCTGCCAAACACAAATCTTCCCTTGAACATACCCCTTGTATCCAACCATCCCTTTGCTTACTTCTCCATCAAGGATCAGGACTTGTTACGGCCTCCTGGAAATATTCCTGGACAATGTGTACCTTCTCTATCACGTAGAGCATCAGATTGCGGAGCATACTCAACCCTTCCTGTCCCTCTGCTCTACCAACACAGGGTCAAGGAGGCAGAAGATGGACCTGCGGCAGAGATTCCTGTCCAAACCCTGCTCCGTCCTCGAATTCTTAATTATTCGACCGCGGATAATGATGACTCTTCTATGCTTGAACGATATTTAGTAGGACGGGGAAGCGGGAAGCGTCACACAATCGCCGGAGGCGGAATCTCGTCTGTTCTGCCCGATTCCCCCCGCCGGCGAAGAACCGGACTTATGACTGTGATGGAAAAACCGCCGAAAATAGCTACGGCTTTACTCCATGAAGTTGAGAGCCGAATACACGTCCAGCGGCCTGTTTCTCCTCTTGCCTTCTTGCTCAATAATGATTCCTCTCATTCTCTCCCTCCACAATCCCCTCCTCCCGTTACATCTCCCTCCAAACCGTCTCTCCTCCGGCAGCGGAGAACAGGACTGACTACAGTCCTAGAGACGGGAAAGACTATAAACGGAAGAATGAGCTTGAGTAAGGAACCCTACTCCCTCCCTTTACCAGCTGACCGCTATCCTCTCAATAGAAGGTTGAGCGAGGGTGCTCCAGCATTCTCTCAGTTCCGCACAATACCGTCTCCGTCTCTACCCTCTTCTACAGACCAATCTCCATGCGAGATTAGAGCCCTGCAGGAGGAATATATGCAGCTAAGCAAGGATACCCGTCTGTCACAGGACTCTGGACACTCATCCTCTGGGTACCATTCACCACAGTTCCTCCGCCCTCCCTCGCCACCCTTCTTCTTCCCTCCTAATAGTAGTTCACAGGTAACAAACACTTATTTCTGAGGAAATCATCCCATCCAACATTTTTATCTTTTTCAGTATCTTTCAATCTATATCTCATTAACAATCAAGAAAACATAGTCTTTTTTTCTGTCTTAAAACATGTAAAATTAATCCTTGATCGGACTAGGGTTTAAAGTGTACCATGGTAAATCGAACATATCACTATATAAACAAGCGGATCTGTAAATACCATTATTAGCATAATCTGAAGAATACCTCCCTTAGTTAGTTCTAGTAAAACATTGATAAATATGTTAATCTCTTATTACAGTTTTACATTGTTCACTTTGTCCTAGGTTCAAGAGGAGGATGAGTTGAATACAGATCCAAGCATCACACAGGATCTAGAATATGCCAGCACACAAGAGGGTCAACCTGTCTCCCAGGAGGGGACCCTCTCTGCACTATACGAGGAAATGTACGCCTCTCATGATCATAGTGCTCGAAGGTTAAAATTAATATGTTTCTTCGTTTTGTTGGTTTACTACACACTAACTATTTAATTACCGTTTAGACCTATAGTTCTGTAAGTTAAGGTTCTCCTAGCCTAATATAGGGTTAACCCTATAGTTCTGTAAGTTAAGGTTCTCCTTTAAGGTTCTCCTAGCCCAATAAAGGGTTAACCCTATAGTTCTGTAAGTTAAGGTTCTCCTAGCCTAATAAAGGGTTAACCATATAGTTCTGTAAGTTAAGGTTCTCCTAGTCTAATAAAGGGTTAACCATATAGTTCTGTAAGTTAAGGTTCTCCTAGTCTAATAAAGGGTTAACCATATAGTTCTGTAAGTTAAGGTTCTCCTAGTCCAATTAAGGGTCCAAAAATCGATTCTTTAAACGTAACCACCCAAATGGATGATTTTGAGCTCGACTTTGCGCTCAAACTCAGTAACTATACAATATACATCATTAAAACGTTTATATGTCCCAAATGAATCCTTAAAAATTTCTCAACAATACTACATTCTCCGTTCAACACCATACATTGCCGGTCACTCCCTTCAAGGTTCTGCAACTCCTCGGCCCACCTTGAAGGATAATTTAAGTTTAACCCTACATTTCTGTACATTAAGGGCTTCCCACCCTAACTCCTAGGCCGCCCTAAAGATGACCATTTAGTTCTGTATGTTATGGTTCTCCTACATCAACTACCCGGCTCACCTAAAAGGACAATTAAGAGAAAAAATAAGGTTAAACCCTAAAGTTCTGTAGGTTAACTCCATGGTCCACCTTAAAGGACAATTAAGAGAAAAAATAAGGTTTCGCCCTATAGTTCTGTATGTTAACTCCCCGGTCCACCGTGAAGGATAATTTAGAGAAAAATTAAGGGGTTTAACCTTATAGTTCTGTATGTTAACTCCCCGGTCCACCGTGAAGGATACTTTAGAGAAAAATTAAGGGGTTTAACCTTATAGTTATGTATATTAAGGCAAATTGTTAGCAAGGAAAAATGTAATCAAAGCAAAATGTTACCAAGGCAAAACATTACTAGGCAAACCTTAACAAGGCAAAATGTGACGTAACTCCCCTGTCCCCTGTGAAGGATATTTAGGAGAAAAAATAAGGGTTAAACTTTAAAGTTCTGTATATTGAGGCCCTCCTACCCTAACTCTCCGGCCCACCTGAAGGATATTTAAGAGAAAAAATAAGGTTTAAACTTTAAAGTTCTGTATATTAAGGTCCTCCTACCCTAACTCTCCGGCCCACCTGAAGGATAAACACACTCTGACACAGCATTTGCAGCATCTTTGTCTGACGCAGAAGCTTCTGGAGTCAAATCCCCAGGACAACAGAATAAAGGTGAATTTGTAGTAGTCTATTGCATGCAATGTACAGGGTTATCCACAAAGGATGAGACTGAAAAGACGACATATGACTAGGATATGTTAATTTCAAAGTTAAATAAACGTTTATGTCTGAAATACAGACTTTTATAGAATATTTAATGATTTGTCAAAGAAAGAAACAAGTTAACAGCTGCAGAGAAGTGTGAATAAAAGGACAGTATAAATTTCGCAAGCTGTCTTTAAAGTCTCATCTTTTGATGGTGACCCTGTACCAAAAATAATAAACAATAATTAAACATCTTACTCAAGACTCCTCCTTTATCTACGCAGCGGTAATAAAGTGACATAAAAGAAATTACTCAAAAGGCTTATCTTACTTGGATTTTCAAAATCTTTTCCCTGATTGGTAACTTTTAATGAAAATGCAACTTTTAACCAAAAACTTAATCTTTACAAATCATCTTTTTTTTAGGGATCAATCACGCAGGGTTTACCAAGTCTATCTGCTACTACGACGCCCCTTGCCACGCCCTCAATCACGCCAGGGGTAACACCTAAACGAGAAAAAAGAGGAGGGTTGGATTGGCCCGCCCATAAATACGCTTTGTCTGGTCAAAGCAGTTTAGAAGAGGGTGTGTCAGCCCCTGGACCTAGATATTTAGGAACTCATCATCCAGAGGAATATATTCAGGTATTCATTCACTCATTCATTTATCCTTCCTTTCATCCATCCTTTCATTCATTCATCCTTCTTTTCATCCTTCCTTTCATTCATCCTTTCTTTAACACATGCATTCTTGCTTCCATCAATCATTCATGTATCATCCTTTTATGCATTCATTGATTCATTCTTCCATCATTCATTCATTGATTCATCCTTTAATTCATTCATTCATCCTTTCATTCATCTTTGCATTAATGTATTCATTCGTTCACCCATCCCGTTACTTATTCATTCATTCATGATTTCTTGGTGATTTTTTAGAAATTATTCTTTTACAAACATTCAGATTCCAGTTGATTCTGGTTTTCAGCAGAAGCATCCACAGATCTGTGTCACGGACGTGATGGGGGACCAGTTCAAGTACATATTCTCAGAGCAAATAGAGTCCATGGATCAAAGTTCATAGAGTACATAGGGTTCACAGAGTACATTATTAAGTCTTTAAGATCTAATCAAGAATAAGCTTTAAAGAAATGCATAGGGTTGAGTAAATAGCACGAGAGAAGATCTACGTAGACATCTGATAAGATCTAATTTGAAGTAGAGATCTTAGATTTTATATGACTAAGTTCGTAAATTCCATTTTTAATAAAAGGATTCCTATAATCTATAGATGGGAGTTCAATAAGACAATTTCATAAGGTCAGATCAATTCCCCTTTCTAAGAAGATAATATTTTTCTGAAGTAATTCCTAAAGTTTAAAAGGATTAAAATATAATATCAAAATAGGCAAGAACGTCAGTGTTTAATAGATAATAGTATTTTAGTATTTAGGGCAACTTAAATTTACAAAGATATTTATTTAGACAATGAAAAGGAATTAAAATGTCCTAATTAGGGATCCAATTCTGTACTCTGTTCCGTATTTTATCTGTGAACAGGATATTGATGCTCAAACAAAACAATGCAACTATAATTCTGTCAGTTTAGTTTATCTATCATTCTCTCAGGAGGTTGAATGCGCTTTAAGAAAAGTCGAATCATTGCTTTTTCTTGTTTTTAGTTTTGCAGCTGCACAGTTTTGATAAAATTTACATAAATTACAACTACAATCAGCTGTTTTCAAACGCACAATCCATCTTATAAAAAAGAATTATTTGAAAATTTAGTCAGCCTGAAAATTGAAAGAAAAAAACGAGAAATTTACTGTTTGTAAAAAGATATAAAGTTTATTTGATTGTGAATATAAATATCGTTCAGAAAATGTTGAAGAGATTTATCAGTCTTTGATAAATTGTACATTTGTTTGTATTAACCTTAATTATTAAGCGGTTACTGTTTTTAATCATTTTTTTCTTGAGTTATATCTCTTGAAACCCCCTGTCAGGTTAAATGTGATCTCGTTCTACACATGAGTTGTCAGCTGTTCTATATCATTTATGGGCGTGTGGTAGCGTTAGTTGATTTATAATTAGAATTTACCGAATTTTTCACTTAAGGTAGCTGTATTTTTGCAATCAGTTGACTATCAAGTGCTATCAGCTGATATTTATTTTATGGAACAGCTGATTTTCAACATGTTAACAGCTAGTTATGAATATTTGTTACTAAATTAATAAATTGATGTCGTCAGTTATCATGTTATATTTTATAATTCATTCGTATACTTATTAAAATCAAGGGGCATTTTTTATCTCTTGCATTAAGCACATATTCGAAACATAATTTTGTTTTTGTTTTGTCCAATCTTAAATCTAAAAAGAAGTGGTTTGGTCAAGTACTGTTTACAATTAGATACATGGTTGGACAGTTAGAAAACTGTGATTAAAACGCATTTTTATGTAAATATACATTTCGCAAGCTTTACATCAGTCAGCTTACTAATCTTAAATAATGTAAAAGAGTTTGTTTAGTAAATAATAAATTTACGATGGCTGGGGCGGGTGTTAGCCCGGCCCTCTCTGCACTCATTAAAATATATTCATTACTTGGTTTACTAATACTAGTCCTGTTTTACATTCTGCTATCTTGTATGCTGCTTTTTACAGATGTAAGCACAGTTGATTGATATATTTATCAATTGATTTTAGTACAAATATAAAATGGGGGACAGAGAGTGTCGTGACCTGGTGAGAAAACTTCAAAAAACTCCGAAAAAATCAAAGAAAATTGAGAAAGGTATAGTGAATGTTCTAAAACGATTCATTATTGATTATTTCATATCTTTTTAAGTGTAAGCCAATCTCAGTATTAAGTTAAATGACAGTAGTCGACGGGAATTCGAAATTTTCCTTTCCTTATTTTTATTAATTACCTTAGCTTTTTGATGTTGTCATGTACAAACTGATAAAAAGAAAGAAATTTTGCGGATTTTTTGTCCAAAACCTTATCTTATAGCAACTTTTCTATTTTTGGTCTGCTATTAAATAACTAAGGGTTTATGTGAATTACCACAAAAAAATGCAATTTTCGCGTTTATTGGATACAAACAAACGGATTTATTTATAGTTTGATGTTTTTATAGATGAAAACAAAGAAAACCTCTCTGAAGACATGTCTGAAACGAGCGAGTCTATCCGTAAGACTCAGAATGCGCACAGGGAGGGAAGCGCGCTAGGAGAAAGTACTCCAGGGAAGGGTGCGCGTAGAGAACTGATCAAAGATGAAGACTCTTTCTCTGATCCTGTGTATAGAGATATTTCAAGAAAAAATGGATTCTTAAATAAACAAGATTTATCAACGCTTAAAAGAATATGCAAGGTTAAAAAACATTCAAAAAAAGAAAATCTCACGTTTTCTTCTGAAGTTTCTAAAACAATTTAGGTCAACATTTTTGAGCTAGTTTGTGACGATCTGGCTTTTACAGAATTCAATCCAGTCACTTTGTTTGAACAAAAGAAGTACTTTTTAAATATGAGACCAAAATATGAACAATTTGTGAATATACCGATCAAAATAGTAGTGAACACTCATAACAAACTCTTATTTTATATCAAACCGTAACATTCTTAAATCTTTGCAAACTAAAGGATCTTTGATCTTTTAAACTTGGTCTATATAATTTAGTAAAATTCATAGTTAGAAACATCAAAGGTCTAATACAGCAAATTGAAATAATGTTTTTTATCAAAGGATGAAAATATTGATAGTTCGGGGAAAAAAGATCTCGTCACTAAACGGCTAAAACAGTTTTATAAGGTAACTAAATTGTTTTTTTGTTTTAGCTACCCTCAACTATGATTTGTAGTTATGTTGAATATTTTAGGCATGAATTATTTTGCTCACGAAAATGTCAAGAATATGTTATTTACCTCAATTCAAAGTAAAATCAAATGGCGTGTATAGTGTACACGTTACACTGTATACTGTACACTGTACACTGTACACTGTACACTGTACACTGTACACTGTACACTGTACACTGTACACTGTACACTGTACACTGTACACTGTACACTGTAAACTGTACTCTGTAAACTGTACACTGTACACCAAGTTACTAAAAATTTTTTAACAAAATACAGAAATCAATGCTTCATTGATATTATTGGAGAAATCAAAATAAATTTAGTTTTCAGATGATAAATATCAAGCCTTTAACTTTTTCTCTTGTGTTACCGAGATCTCGTTGATTTAAGTTTATATCTATAATATTAGAGAAATAGTTTAACCACGCAAGGTCACTTAAACTACCTTTCTCGTAAAGATTAAAAAAAATCACAATAATAATGTTTAGGTTCAGCTTTTAAGAGAGGCCGGACTTCTAGAGCCCTCGCCCAGGTGCAAATTTGTTCATAGAAATTTAATATCATTAACATAAATTGAGGTCGGTTTCTTCAAATCAAACTTATTTTTAGAGGTTGTTGTATTTGAATTTAAATAATTTTCATATATTTTTCAGAGGTTTCGATTATCTGGTTGTCATCGATTTTGAAGCAACATGTGAGGAGAAGAACTCGAGTGAATATCCTCATGAGATAATCGAGTTCCCAGCAGTATTAGTCGATGTTTTCAGGTAACGATCATAGCATTTTAATGTTTGTCACAAACTCAAATTTTCTAACCTGATATCCACAGTTTCCTTCTAAGGGGAGAATCGTAATGATAACTTGTCATTCGTCACAAACTCTAATTTTAATATCTTTAAATCTTATCACCCTGATGGTATAATATTTCAAACTTAGATTATTTGATCAGAACAAAAGTCATAGTTTGGTCTACGACATTGGGTTGCAAAGTTATAGTAATTAGAAAATGAAGGTTTGGAAGAAAGGCTCAATTTCTTTCATTTATATTAGTTTTATTGCTCGAGGGGAGGAAGGCCAACCACATCAATCTCTAGTCCGAACCACATTCTCATCATTTTCTCGTCCGAACCACATCGAAATCCTCGTCCTTTCAATATTATTTTTTTTAAGTGTCCGATCCTTGAAAATAAATACATTTTTTTTAAAATATGGCGACGTTAGGGCATAGATGAAATATCAAATTTTCCCAATTAAATTTTAGATTTCTATAAAAATGAAAATGCTCCATAAACGATGTTCTACAAAAAAGCGTCTGTTTAAGAGCCCTTTCTTTTGCGGAAAATGCCGCAAAACATTCTCAAACTGGATGTAAACAACTTTTTGTAATATTCAAGCTGAATTTGGGTTAGAGATATGACTTACAACTTTTATATGATTAAATACTGTTTGAATTCATAGGGTTGTGACCAATTAATTGTAGCAAATGATTTGAATAATATAAATTGAACATTATTTTTTCTATAATTTTAAGCATGCGGCAGGCAGTAGTGATCTCTTAGTGGGGACAACAAATCTACCTTATTTGTAAATAAATCAGAAATCAATGATTATTTTGTATGGGTTGAAATGGAAAGATTAAAGACCATGTCCACGCAAAATCTTCGGTATAAATTTTTATTTGTGAAAGTTATCCGTTTTGGAGGCAGAAGATTCAATTTTTAACCTAAATAATGTTCGACATCATTCTCGAGGATTTGAAGATTCCAACATCTCAAAATCCTTGGAAAACTTTATTCTAGTCATGTTTTATGCCATAACGTCGCCATATTTTTAAAAAATGTATTTATTTTCAAGGATCGGACACTTAAAAAAATAATATTGAAAGGACGAGGATTTCGATGTGGTTCGGACGAGAAAATGAGGAGAATGTGGTTCGGACTAGAGATTGATGTGGTTGGCCTTCCTCCCCTCATTGCTCCCTTATTGTCAAATGTGACAAATTTGGAAATTTTCATCCTCAAAACCCAGAATCATAATCATGACTTCAGATCAGACTCATAATAACCCAAGTTGGTAAGTGGCTGAAGCTAGACCCTAGAGATCAACGTAACATTGCAAACAGGACATGATACTTTGATTGAAGGTTTATTGGTAATAATCATGATTATCTCAAAATATTTAAATTTTTGATCCTTCATTGATTCAATAGTATCATATAAAATAGATTATTATATAAAATCTGTCATACAATTAGATACTTAAATCTGCAACATTTTTTAGTTTTAACTAATAAGTGGGTGGTTTATCTTCATCCACTTGTAAACATTAGACATGGTTGATGTCTAATTTTTCTCATTTTTTTGCCCCAGATCAACGAAACAAAAATGGGGAGTAGTTTAATTATCCAATAACCATAGTTAGATCCAATAAACCATTTATCATTAAATCCTATCTCCAGTTTCTCATCCGTACATTGTCCAGATTTAAGATCGTGACTAGTTGGAGAAGCTATGTCCGTCCTGTTCTGAATCCAACCTGTTCACTGTTTAGGTGTAAGATTGTGATCAACTGGAAAAGATTTGTTTGTCCTGTTCTAAATCCAACCTGTTCACTGTTTAGGTGTAAGATCGTGACTAGCTGGAGAAGATATGTCCGTCCTGTTCTGAATCCAACCTGTTCACTGTTTAGGTGTAAGATTGTGACCAGCTGGAGAAGATATGTCCGTCCTGTTCTGAATCCAACCTTGTCAGAGTTCTGTACATCACTTACTGGAATTACACAGGTTTTTATCCTACCTACCTTTCTTTTCCCTTATTTATCTACTTATCTATCTCATGGGAGTTAGCCCCTATGGCGGTCTGGGCTCTCCAAGATGGAGGTTTTTTCAGATCCTTCCCTTATCTAATCTTATATATTCATCCAGCTACCGATCTACCTTGATAAATGGATTTTTATTGACGAAATTTTGTTTAAAGCTTATTGAAAATACCTACCTACCTATCTAGGACCAGGTGGACCGTGCTGACGATTTCCCAACTGTCCTCAACATGTTTTATGAATGGTTGAAAGAACATAGGTCAGAGTCTCCTACAGAATTTATCCATGAACAACATTTTTAATGCATTCTTTTTTTAATAATATTTCTCTTTTAAAAGTTTGGTATAAAGAAGTTTTAATAAAAAAATTGCTCTGTAATTTTTGTTTCTTTTTAGCCAATTCCTAATTTTGAAACTTCTTATTGAAAGTTTCCCCTGATTTTCTCTTTTTAATAAACTTTCTTAAGAAAATATTTGCTTTGAAGAAGTTTTTGAAGATATTTATATCGCTAAGGAATTTGTTTCTTTTTTAACAATTCCTAACTTTGAAACTTGTATTTGAAAGTTTCTCTTGAAGAACTATCTCTTAATGAATTTCTTTTAAACGTTCTCTTTCTTTAAAAGTTTTTTTTTCAAATAAGTCTTTTTACAAGAATATCTGTTTCTTATTCTGAAGTTTCTTGTAGTCATATAGAGGTTTTCTTGAAGAGGTTTTATTTGAAGAAGATTGTTTTAAAAGGTTTCTCTTTTAGGTATATGGGAAGTTTCTTCTTAAGAAGTTTCTCTTAAAGAAATTTAAGCTTTTGGAGAACAAGTTCCTTTTAAATAAGTTTCTAATGCTGTCGGCTATCGTTTGGAAGTTTTTTTTAAAAGTTGTTTTCTTTTAACTTATTTTTAATAAAAAATGTGTTATTGGAAATTATCTCATGAAATAGTTCATTTATTAAAAAAGTTTCTTGTCAGACGTTTTAATTAGTTTTCTCATTATTTAATTAATCAAAATTAGATTAAACACACGAAAAGCATTTTTACATACACATTAATATTTCTTTTATTTCAGGCTTGGGACAGATTACACCTTTAGTTTGGTAACTGATGGACCCTTTGATATTGGTAGATTTTTACGATTAAGCTGTTCACATCATTCTCTAGAGGTTCCCTGGTTTGCTACAAGGTAATTAAACAATTTGACAAATTTGAAATATTTCGCTAGGAGTTTCTCGAATTTGTCAATGCTAGATTTCGTCTTTTAATAAAAATATCATCTGTTAGTGGAAAATGGTATTTATAATATTATTACAAGCAATGTCAACTTGAACCATGCAAGGTACCTGGCGTAGATTCATCTTTGTGCTGGGTTGAACCAGCGTAGAAGTAGTTTAAGTATCTGCATCTAGTATCTAGATTAACTGCGTCTATCTATTTATTGATGTATGTTAAGATGGATAAATCTGCGTAAAGCGTTCTCTAACTACTACAGACAAGGGGGGAACAAGACGAGAGAAAGAGCTCCGGGTTTACAGAATATGCTTGCTAAACTAGATCTCACTTTTCAGGTACATTTAAGGGTATATATTTTATTTTCACTTTTTTTTAAGTGACTGTAAGCGCAATTTTCATGAACAGTGGGCACCCTTGAAGAAATTTGATTTGATTTTATTTTATTTTATTTTATTTGATTTAGGTTGGGTTGGGTTGGGTTGGGTTGGGTTGGTTCGGTTTGATTTGACGGAGTACCCTTTCGTTACAGATTCACAACCTTAGAGGGCCACTTGTAATAACGTCCTTAGTCTCATTAAACCTTTATCTTCGTGATGCTAGTTAACAAAACAACACACATTACATTACAAAAACGCTAAACGAAAAAAATGTTTTTGTTTAGGGTACACCGCATTCAGGTTTGGATGATGCAACAAATATTGGCAGAGTAACTGAGCGTTTGCTTAGGGATGGTGCAACTCTTAGAGTAAACGAAAGATTGGAGCTAGGAGGAAGGAGAAAAACGTATAATATGAAATAACAAATTTAATTCCTTTCCGAAAACTCTTTCACATTCAAAGATTATGAAGTTTTCAATAATTTCTCATTAGTTATCAGAGTTTTTAGTTTTGAGAGCTAAAAGTTATTTTTTCATTTTGTTTTTCATTTTGTATCTTGAGTTGGGCATCGTTTTAATGAACGAACTAAACTTTGAGAACGAACAAAATTTTACGTGAACGATGAACTTTTGAAAAAAAACGATATTTTTACCGATAGAGCAGATAGAACAATTTTATTGAACAAACGATTTTACTGAGAAAATTAACGATAATTTTGAGAACGAAGTAAAAAAATTTGAATTGAAAAAAAACGTACAAAATGGGTCGTTCACGTTCGATGATCGAATGAAATAAGAACCGAACACGTCAATCTCTAAATGTATCCTGGATCCTAAGTACTGCTGTTTAAAAATAAAGTTTTCTCCCTGCCCGTAGAGTTTAAACAGGAGAACAAGGATAAGCGTCTACAACAGGTTGCTTCTGTTTCTAAAAAAGAATCTGAAGATTGGTTAAACAGGTTTGTATTTATTTGTATTTATAACTAGGAAATATTTCTTTATTTTAACATTTATTTTTCCATTCTAATTTCAACCAATTTTTAAAAGAGAGCAGTGAATTTATTTTCTGAATTTTGTATCTTAAAATAATTAACAGTTCTCAGCAGTGCACTTACACATTTAATTGATAATAATTAACAAAAAATAGTTGCTTCCTGTATTTTTATTTTTAACTACAATCTCATATATAACACATTTTCAATTCCCAATAACAATTTCTATGTTTTGCCTTTGAATAAAGATTTTATTGTTTTAGATGCAAAATACGGAGAGAAGAATACACACGCGGAAACCCGGTTTCAGCATGTACAGATAGTACAGAATAAACTTTGTTCAGTATTATTCCTTTTTTACCGACAGCAAACAGTGGAGAAACCTTGCTACGTACATATACTCACTGCCCAGCATTATCAAGAAAAGAAAAGGGCAAAAATCGAATTATTAATGAAGTAAAGTCCAGGGGCGGATCCAGCTTTTTTAAAAGGGGGGTCAAAGTCTGAATAATATAGGGTATTGTACCGAGCGAGGGGGGTGCAGGGGGCGTAGCCCCCCGCAATTTTTTAAAAGAAATAAGCATTAAAAGTGAGTATTTTAAGTGCTCAAAACAGAAAATTACTCTTACAGTATGTAAAAATATTTCTACCTTAGAGCTGCACTTACAATATTTTTTACTCAAATATATTACTCTATAAAATTATTTCCATTGGCATTACATAACTTCTATAATTACAATTTTACATATTGTTAAAGATTAAGATATTAACTGCAAAAGGTTCAGGGTGTTTTTTCATGTGACTAATTAAGTTACAAGTTACCCCAAAGAATGTGATTTCAAGATTAGAGTTTAAATCTGTGTTTAACTCCTATTCTTTGTGGTTAACCCTGTAGGTTTAAATATAGCGATGGGAAATTGTTAGATTATTTTTACAGAAACTTTTAATACTTTTAGACTTTTAAAGATTTACGGGTTCAACGGTTTGAAATTGTCTTCTGTAGAAGCTTACTATTATCAAACATGCATATTTGTTATCCTAGGTAAAATTATAAGGTAAAAACCAACTAAAAATGATCGTTTAAAAAACCCAAATCTACCATTTTTGCCTTATATTTTCTTCGAAGGTAACAGATTTGCATGTTCATTAGGGCCAGATCATTAAATCTGTCATCGTTCATGATAGCTTTTTGTTAAAGCATATTAAAGTATCTGCTTGAAAACAAGTTACAGTAAACTTTTAGGTTAGTCTCCAGAAAAGGCCAAAAGATACTCTTGACCCCCCCCCTTTTTTTCAAAAGGGGGGGGGGTCGTCGACCACTTACCCCCCTCCTGGATCCGCGCCTGGTAAAGTCGTTGTTTTGCATTTACATGTAAGATTCAAGTCTGTAAAACCTCTCATTGAAATGCAACATGGCGTTCTTTTAACAGAAACGTAATTATATTGAGTTATGAAATAAGATCGACCCCTAAAAATAAAAAACAGCCTTATTACTATTAAACATCGTCCAGCATAATCACCAAATAACTACGAACAAATATCCTACAAAAACTTGAAAATTTAAGCTTTGAAAGTAGTTTTTGTAATATGTTTCTCCACACAATTGAAAGTTGTCACATTTAAAATATGTTATTTTTTTGTTATAACGGATTTTATGAATAATAAATTTTATATCTGTTCTTAATTTGATTGTCGTAAATTCGGATGTAAATTTTGTTCAATCAAATCAAGCAAATGAGAATTTGCTAAACTTATGGGCATCTATTTTTTTTTAACTGAAATATGAGGAGTTTAAATTGTAGAATACGAAACATGACAGTTGGTGAATAGTTTGAAATGTCATCTCCCATGATTATTTAAGTAGTTTGATACCAAAGAGACTAATAAGAATTAGTATATGGCAGTAGTATTATAGTAAAATTGATTTCAACGTATAATATAATTTAATTAAAGACTTGATAACTAAATAAACTGCACAAAAAGTCTTCAATATCTAATACAGTATATGGAAGAAGACAATCAAAACTATTCACCAACTGTCATGTTTCGTGGGAAACCCTGTAATTGATCTACGTATATATTTTTTGCATAGATTAACATTGAAACGGCTGAACTGATCGGGCCCAACTTTAAAAATTTTACCTTTTTTATCTGAATTTTGTTTTCATATGATGTGCTAAGTTAAACCGGCTACCGATGGATTTCAATTGTTTTTTTCGTTGCATTCTTTCTTTGAAAATACGTTAATACATAATACTTCTTATTACCTTTCAGGAATTATTGTCCCAAAGTATTCAGGAATCAGGAATTATTGTCCCAAAGTATTCTAGAATTATTGTCCCATTAAGTATTCAAGAATCATTGTCCCATTAAGCATTCAGGAATCATTGTCCCATTAAGTATTCATGAATTATTGTCCCATTAAGTATTCAGGAATCATTGTCCCATTAAGTATTCAGGAATTATTGTCCCATTAAGTATTCAGGAATTATTGTCCCATTAAGTATTCAGGAATTATTGTCCCATTAAGTATTCAGGAATCATTGTCCCGTTAAGTATTCAGGAATTATTGTCCCATTAAGTATTCAGGAATCATTGTCCCATTAAGTATTCATGAAATATTGTCCCATTAAGTATTCATGAATTATTGTCCCATTAAGTATTCAGGAATCATTGTCCCGTTAAGTATTCAGGAATTATTGTCCCATTAGGTATTCAGGAATCTTTTTCCCGTTAAAGGGAGTGACCGGCCATGTAAGGTAATTGAACTGAGTGTGCAGTGGAATCATTTGAGACATATTTCACTTTTTAAAGATCTGTAAATCCTGAGTTTGAGCCCAAATTCGACGTTCAAAACTCCTGATTTGGGGGGTGGATACGCTTTCAGAATTAGTTTTTTTAAATCATTAAATAACGACAACGAAAAATAAAGTAAAAATTATACAGTAATGTAATTAGATGGCTAGGAACATATTTCACAAAAGAAATTTGTCAATAAATCAATGCTAAAATCGATTATTTCGTTTTCATTATTATATTGAATTTCTAATCTCCTTTCAATTTATTCGCAGATTTCTTCAAATTCTTTAAATGTCGTCTTTTCAATAATAATTATAGAAAATCTGCGAACATCTTTGTGAATCACGAGAAACTAGAATAATGAGATAATAGAAACTAATAATTGAACAAGATTACTTATTTTCGATGATAAGATTAATTTTTATTTTCTCAAAATGTTCCTAAACATGATGTCTGTAGTTTATTGTAGAATATTTTTACATTTTATGTCGTCGTTAATTAATAATTTAAAAAAAAACTCATTCTGAAAGCGTATCCACCCCCAAATCAGGAGTTTTGAACGTCGAATTTGCGCTCAAACTCAGGATTTACAGACTTTTAAAAAGTGAAATATGTCTCAAATGAATCCTAAAGAAGTTTTCTACAACACTGCTCAGTTCAACTACCTTACATAGCCGGTCACTCCCTTTAAGTATTCAGGAATCATTGTCCCTTTAAGTATTCAGGAATCATTGTCCCATTAAGTATTCAGGAATTATTGTCCCATTAAGTATTCAGGAATTATGTCCCATTAAGTATTCAGGAATCATTGTCCCATTAAGTATTCAGGAATCATTGTCCCATTAAGTATTCAGGAATCATTGTCCCATTAAGTATTAAGGAATTGTTGTCCCATTAAGTATTCATAAATTATTGTCCCATTAAGTATTCAGGAATCATTGTCCCATTAAGCATTCAGGAATCATTGTCCCTTTCAGTATTCAGGAATCATTGTCCCATTAAATATTCAGGAATCATTGTCCCATTAAGTATTCAGGAATCATTGTCCCATTAAGCATTCAGGAATCATTGTCCCATAAAGTACTTAGGAATCATTGTCCCATTAATTTTTCAACACTCTGAACAGTCTCTGGCAGAAAATTCCTCTTTTAGAAATGGCAAGCGATATCAAAAGCCTCTGTAGGACAAATTTTATGAGAAACACTAGCTCCAAAGGCAGTCCCTGGGCATGCATAAACATGTTTTTTTTTTCACTAATGCCCTATACTTTCAGGGGGAAATAGGAATAATGATTCATAAACAATTGCAGATGATCCAAAATCTGGAAAAAAGCCATGGGACATGATTTTTGCTTCTAGCAGTTGTAAAAAAAAAACTGCAATTAATTTGTTACCAGGGCACAGGTGGCTCGGATTATCGCAGATTTGTCATTTCCATATTGGTGAACTTGCTATTTTATAACATCTTATATTGGACTAGATAAACTTTAGAGATAATCTAATATGATATGGGACGCTCTGTAGGTCTTGCATGTCTTTTTTGTCTAACACCCTCTTGGTAGTTTGTACTGTAAAAAAGTAAAGAAACATTAAACAGATGCATCTTTCCACGCCTATACAGATGATAAAGCTTGTTTTTATGATAATGATCTCATATCGTGCCTGATATCCTACAAAGTATTAAATTTTGATTAATCTTGTGCTGCTAAGTGCAAGCTGATGTTGTTGAGAAACTGCAATGGAAAATTATCAGTTTTATAAGTATGGCTATTCTGACAAAGCTTTGACAGGTGCTCTTGTGATTCAGACTTGACACTCAATAAATGATGGATCCTTTGAAAATATAATTACAGGCTCTGAAAACAAAAGGTCAATCCCGTTGACAATTTGCATTGGTACATGCATAGGAAAAAAATCGACCTCAGATTTGTTCAATTGGACCGGGAAAAAATTTATAGTAAAAGTATTTATTTTCAAACACAAAATCAAAAATAATAATGTGTGACGGTTCAGCTAAAAGCAAAACACAAAAGAAAATTTAATATGAGCAAAAATAGCAATGTATTCTTGATTACTGTATTGTAGTAGACTTTGAAATCTACCATTAGACCCATTCTTGATGACTGTAGAATAGATATAAGAAATCATTGCTAAATTCTTTAGTCCGATATTAATTTCTAGAATTTAATAGAACACTATTAAGACGACCTAGCCAATGACAGCAGGTCTGATAGACTAAGCTTAAATCATTATTAGGGTGACTCAAAAAGATTATCAAGTACAATAGGTGGCAACAGAGAAATGGACCAATTATACACGAGATCACAAGTGTCAAATATAACAAGAAAAACGAAATTTTCTCACATTAGTTGACATTTTTTCCAAGATTAAATAAAAAAGTGTTAACACAGAAAATAAAGAACACAGAAAATTATTTTACTGTAAGATAAGCACTTTATTCTAAAATTATCACTATTATTAATAATTTTGTCGGACACAAAAAACTTAGTTGACACTTGTGACGTAATAATACAGCTGTACTGAGAGTGAACAAATTCTACGTTGCCATCTATTGTACTAGACTCTAATTGAGGCGACTTAAAAAGAAACTTTTTTACTTTGAGTCAAGCTAGGTAGCATACTTAACTAACACAGAACACATAATAAAGATATTTTTATTATACATGTATTTGTTCTTTCAAAATAAACTTTAAACTAACAATTTTTCTGCATTTATTGTTAAAAGCTGAATGATGTTCATTTTCAGACCGGACTTGTCATTTAACGTTCAAATAGCAAACTCAGGCAAATGGAGAAATTCAGATCGATTGTTTGATAAAGTTTTCTTTACACAGTTAATTTGTTCGATAATTGGTTCATAATCATATTTAAAATAGATTGATCTAGAAAGGGGTTCTGAATTACAATGTCTCAAATTTCTCCAAAAAGTTTAGGAATTAGTTATCAAAGTTTTTCTTTGAAGAGTATTGTTTATTCCCGAAAAAAACGCCTTTTCAATATCAAAATAGTAAATTAAGGCTTGGTAAAAGTATGAAAATGTTTCCTGAATAAAACAGAAACAAGTTCAAATGGTAAGTCAGGATTGAGAATGTTCACCAGAGGCCAAGATCTAAAACAGTACTTCCACAGTCCACTTACTAATCTCATACATTTATTGAAATAAATCTATTTCATTTAGAATTTGAAACGATTGTTTTTATTAACACTAGTTGGAAAACTGAGATCTGACTTAATGATGGGGTTTCAACCTCATCACTAATACTGAATTTAAGTCTTGCATAGGCAGTTTCAGGATTTAAGACAGGGGGAGGGGGGTAAAAAATAATTTTTTTTACCCCCCCCCTGCACCCCCCTTATATTGATTTTACCCCCTCCCTGTAATTTTATCACACAAATTAAAAGCTAAAAATATCTATTTACCCTCCTAACCCTACTAAAATTACAGTTTCTTTGACCTTTTATTACAGGGTAAGAAAAATGCCTCTATTTATCTAAAAAAAATATTATAGATTGCTGAACTTTATAATGGTACACTGTATATTTACATGCATACATTTTACATAAACTATTTTTCTGTGAGAGTGATAAACCCATGGAACAGTTTGCTGGACTATATAAAGGAGTCTAAATCTTTAAACATATTCAAGAACAGTTATGATGAGCATGTTAAAAATGTCGAGAACACTTTGTGAAAAAGAAATCCAGTGCAGAATCGCTTTTTAATTGCCAAAAAATGGTATCTAAGCGATACCAAAACAATATCAAATCAAATCAAATCAAATATTTATTGCACGAAGATTAGAATTTATATAATATAAATATCACATAGAAAAGTATAATCCTCGTGAGGGAAAATTAATCTGGGGGAGCCAGGTTTTCATAATTTTCCCCATAGCTTAGTGACAGGGGGGGGGGGAATTTAACATAACATTTCAATCATGTTAGTCTAAGGAAGGGAGAATTATTTTATTTTTTTGCTATTATTCTTTCTCTTTTAGTAAGTAATGCTTCTTAAATCATGCTAATTTTTCTTGCAGGAGACTACGACTTGCAAGCAGTTTCTATGTTAAAGGAATTGAGTTTCTGTCAGAAACTTAATTTTTAAATTTCAATTCTTTGCAAACAAGTATCGTAGACCTTTGATATTTTGAACTATAAATTATGTTAGATAAGACAGTCTAAGTTTGAAATATCAAAGGTTTTCACCTACAGGTTGCGAAGATATAAGGATTAGAAAATTTGAGTTTGTGACAAAAACTCACTTCCTTTAGAGTTAAAAATAAAAGTATACCATGAGAAGGCTGAAAGTAGATAAAAAAACTCCCTTCTCCTAGTCTATGATAAACTAGTTTTCTTAGGCCACTTGAAATGAATGAATTAAAAACACTAATGTCTGAAATTGATGCAAGCCTCTTGGGATGCATTGTCATCCGTCCCAGGTTTACCAACCTGTCAGGGGTCATAGAGGACCTGTTATCTATGACAATCTATGGCAATATTTATATCACAAAGTTTTAGTTTTAAACTTTCATACTAAAGCCTCAAAACTGTCGCTTTAAGATATAATGACCATAGAATCCAGATTAAGTTACTTTAAGACACATTCTAAGTCCCATGTCTAAGTCATGGTAAGACATATTTCAAATCACTGTTCTAAGTCAACGTTTGAGACCGAATTATGTCAAAGATACTCTCTAAGTCACAAACATGCATTAGACACATTCTAAAACACTTTCTAAGTAAAAATTATGTCTAAGTCACTTTCTAAGTCAGCATGCTATGTCAAACTAATACTTTGAGAATTTCTAAGTCACAATTATGTCTAAAACACTTTTGAAGCCACAAACATGCATTAGACACTTTCTAAGTAACAAATGTGTTTTAGACACATACTGAGGCTCAATTTAAACTCTGAACTAGGTCTAAATCATGCTTTTTAGACTTTATTGTATTTAAGATTCATTCTAAGTCACAATTCTAAGTGTTAATTAAGTCTGAAAAGCTGTTTTAATCACACATATGTCTAATTCATAGTTGTCTGGCTCAATTATTTTCACGGCCCATTCTCAGTCACAGTTCTAAGTCTTACTTTTCAGGCCAATTTGTGACTTAGACACTTTCTAAGTCAAAAAAACACATTCTTAGTCCCAATCATGTCGAATTCACATTTTTGGGCTAAATTATGAACAAGACACATTGTTTGTCACAGTTCTAAGTCGCAATTACCTCACAGCCATACTTTTCACACCCAATAATGTCTAAGACACTTTCTAAACTATAACTCTTGAGGCAAAACTATTCCTGAAATTTTCATTCACAAGCAAAAGTCAAAAATATGTCTAAGCCTGTTTTTGGAGACAAAATTATGACTAAGACATATTCTAAGTCTCAAATTAGAAGTCAAAATATTTTCTAAGTCACATTATTCTTGTTCAATTTGATATTTTTTGTAGTTTAGCCCTAGAAAAGTGACTTATAGAGTCCATTAACTTCTATTATTTGCTATTTCCAGCAAACTGTTCAGAAGTTTGGATATCCTGAGCCATTTGTCCCAAAAAGGATGGAGGGGGGATCTTCCTCCTCTCTTGCCAAAACTTGCCCTTTCTAGAGTTTTTTCTAAAAAGCATTAAAAATATTTTTGGACCAGAAAAATGAAGGATTTCTTACATCTTGTTTAACAACCGAATGAGGAAATATTTGTGGTCTTAAATCCATCCAGAAAGGACAGGGAAACCCTTATTGCTTCCTAATTCTTAGTTTATTAAGTCATCATTTGACTGGAACGTTAATATTTTCTCAAAATAGAGTAAGTAAGGCATCAAATTTGATTGATTGTTGATTTTGATGCTTTCACAAATGCTAATTTTGATGCTTTACTATAAAAGGGCCAAAGCATCCATTGTATTAAAATTGAAAGACTATACTTTAAATGAGAAATGATTTGTAAAAATCCAGGAGGGGTACACCCCCCCTAATTTCACTCAGGGGGGGGGTAATTAACTGCAACCCCCCCCCCCCTCCTGAAACCGCCTATGTAGTCTTGTGTTTTATCTTTGGAGAGTTATGGTAAAATCTTGCACAGTAGAATAATAATTATGAAAATGACATCTAATCAATTTCCGTACACTTCATTGTAAGAACTTGACAGAGTTAATATTTCGAAAGGGATTACGCCATGCTCGTGGCGCCTCTTCAGTACAAATGGTCGTCTTAACCGTTAATATTGCAGAAAGTCTTCCGAAAATCGCAATTTGGAGCTATAAACGATCTAGTTTGTCTATACGCAATATCCCCTCTACTGAACTTCCGACCGGCTAAAATAGAACAATTCTGTTTCGAGTTAGTTTAAGTTTAGATAATTTCTAAGAAGGCCGAGCGCCGGGGCTAGAACAGGCTAAGGGACCGGCACCGCTGTAAAACCACGTGCTTTTAGGTCGGAAGTGCAGTGTAGCGGATGTTGCATAGCTGCCAGAAGTTAGGTTCCAACAATTTCTGGCCCGAGCGCCGCGGCATAACAGTCTAGCATGGTTGGCACTGCTCGGAAGTGCAGTATAGCGGATGTGGCGTAGGGCAGAAGTGGAATATAGCGGATATGTGTAGGTTGATAGATACCATCAAGAGAATCCAGTACAACGTTTTCCAGAATTACTGAACAATCTTAAACCATTTACATAAATCTCAAATTAAGATTTTATACCATTAGTGTTAACCGTTTACATGTTTCCCGTCGACAGTTGATCCAAAAATATTTATTACATTTAAAGTTAACGAACTCACTTAACTAAAGATCATATTTTTACTAATGTTACAGAAAAATTCAGTTACCATACATTAAAGATATTTATTCAACATTAGAAAAGTACAAAATTACAAATGGCAAACTATTAAAAAGCAAAATAAATGCACTTTATTACAAAAATATACTTGATGTGGAAAATTTTAAAGGGAAAAATGCACAGGAGGATAGTTTTCCAGAGCCCAAAACTAAAGACAGTGAATCGTTATGAAAACCAGTTTTAAAACCCGGGTTTACGAATGGGGGTAGGCAGTTTTGTGGATACAATATTTTTATTATGAAATATTTTTTTATTTGGTAATTCTTCATATTCTCTATTTTATGTCAAATCTCTTAAATCAAAATCTACACAAATGTTAAGACCCCAAAAAAGAAAACTCTAACTCTTTTAAATTTCGGGCTCAGTAATTATGTACATGCTCGGATTGAGAGAATTCACTTAGCTACAGAAAATTTACGTCAGTGTAATGTACACAAAACAGCACTGTCATAATCCTACAATACTAATGTTGGTAGAGCCGTCAAAAAAGGCTGAATATTGGGGGGTTCAATTTCCTTGCATTTTTTTAAGTCCCTTGTTTTCAGTTTTAAATCTTCCTTATTGTAAAATATGTTTCCAAGACCTAGCATTGAAGATCTGGTTTACAAATTGTTCTAAATGTTGTTGCACACCAAAACCTTGGTTTAATGTTGGTGTCCAGTAAAATCTTGGTTTAATATGCAGAATAATCTTGGTCAGGGTTTTTACTGTACGGAATGTACAGATCATAATTTCGTTTTATGTACACAAAATTCAATAACCATGCTCTGCACAGATTACATGTACACTGTACAGAATAACCTCGGTTTGTATGCATATTGTACAGGATTAGAAACTAAGTAGATTGTATTTGAGATTTCTTGAAGTGTAAGTAGTAACTAACATTTTGCAAATTTTCTTTAGGAAAATTCAACAAATGTCACATTTACAGCGGCTGTTGTGCTGTTAGGCAGGTGAAGGTTTATAGCTCTCACCGCTTCTACAGAGCTGTCCGCTGCTAAAGAGCTGTCAGCTGTTAAAGAGCTGTCCGCTATTAAAGAGCTGTCAGCTGTTAAAGAGCTGTCAGCTGTTAAAGAGCTGTCAGTTGTTAAAGAGCTGTCAGCTGTTAAAGAGCTGTCAGCTGTTAAAGAGCTGTCAGCTGTTAAAGAGCTTTCAGCTGTTAAAGAGCTGTAGTACTTTTAAGGGGTAGAGTTTGATTATGATTATCCACACTGTCATAATCTGCCTTCAATAAGGATTTCTTTCCAATCTCTGCCAAAACCTACAAAATAACAAATTAGTAAAAATAATTTTAAATAGAAAAAGAAAGGAAATGGGGCCGGGGTTTACTTGCAAATAGTTTATACACCTTTACTATAGAACGAGTTCAACGAATTCAAAAGCAATATATATTAATTTTTTGTTTTCCACTTTTTTATGTTTATAAAATAACAAATATGAAATAAAACTTGATCGCATAACTTTAATTGATCCGGAGCTGAAAACTTTAGAATGAGATATCCTTAATCCCGATTACTTAATCTGAGTATCCAATTATTTTCTTCTGAATCCTCTCTTTTTGGGCGGAGTGGGATTCCTGTTGTGCGCAATGTCCCGTAAAATTCCAAAACAGAGAGAGGGGGATTGAATTTTTTAGATCCAGAAAAATAATATCTGTGGGATGCCTGCGTAGAGACTTGCAGCTGGTGGGGTCTTAAATGTGGCCGCAGCGCTCGGCCCAGAAAGTGTTATAACGTAACCTAACCCTAAATAAATAATTATTTTTCTGGATCTACAAAATTAAATCCCTCTCTCTGTTTTGGAATTTTACGGGACATTGCGCACAACAGGAATCCCACTCCGCCCTGTTTTTGGATATCTCTACTGTATAAAAGTTACTTTTGATAACAATTACATATACGATGCTATCGATTGAACTAATATCCAATTGAACTAAAGTCGCGGCTGTTTACACGTGGGCTTTTAAACAAATATAAATTTAATCATGTTAATATCAACTTATTAAAAACATATTTGACGTGTATAGTCATTTGAACGTTAGTCTTGAATAAACATTACAAGATTAGGTTAGTCTCGATATTAAGAAAAAGAGAGGATCAAGCATTAATCTCGATATCCACCATTCTAAAGTTTTCAGCTCTTGACATTTTTAACTTGGGGAATCAATTTAATTAAAAATTTGTACGGGATGAAAAATAATAACCTGATCCATGATATTATGAGGAATGTTGACGGCCAACATATCAAGAACAAAACAATCTGCTCCGGTCAGCTCAAGGTTCTCTAGTCTCCAGGCCTTCACGCGCCGCATCAGAATAGATCTAAAATGGCGGGAAATTAGAAACGATCAATAATGGCGGGAAATTCAAATAGATTTTTTTTGTAAACATCTAGATCCTCCTCATAAATATAGTGATGTGCATTAATATTGTTCGTTTTTTTTAGATTTTGGCAGTGTAAGAGCAAACGTTTCCAAATTTGAGTAGTCTAAACATTTGCTTTTCTTAAATTATGTCAAATTCTGATCCTGACAGAAAATCAATGCAAAAACGAACCAACAGTGACAATACCATCCAAAAACAAACGTGTTAAACCGATCGTTTATGGATCGCTTTCCAATTTTTCTGAAGGATAAAAATATAGCAAAATTTTGAAACAAAACTTATTTACTGAAAGTCTAGTAATTAAAAAAAAATCAATTGTATAAAAATGATAATAAAATGCTTAATATGATTTTGAGTGACATTGTGACGCAATAATGATGACGTTTGGCCAATTAGACCCGTATCATCTCAATATAAAGTTTGTATGGGAAGGGGGAGGGGAGATGAAGGGGGATAAAACAAAGAGAACAAAGAAATTTAGAGAGAAGTGGTTTCTAGAATAAAGATTACAGAAAGGTTTCAATATTTTATCTAACAGTTTTAAAAGTTTGAAAGCGGATTAAATAAAGGGGAATATGATGATATATCACACTAGAAAACTCACAAATATAACTCGTAATTTTCAATGACAAACTAAAATATTTAATTTTTTCTATGCCTACATAGTTATCAGGGCGGATTAGAAGGGGGGACCTATGCCCACTGGCCCCTCCTTACATGATACATCCGCACATGTACATATAGTTGAATATATATTTTGAGTGAACCTTTTTGTATTTTTTTTTTTGAACAAATAGGAAATTGGAATTTATTGCCTTTTGTTCAATATTTAGGTCGGTCGGTCGGTCCGTCCCCCTTTGATATTAGTTAAATCCGCCCCTGATAGCTATAGCTTGAAGAATGAACACTCACCTGGAGAGATCAGGGACAGCAATCCTGGCGAGCCTGTAGATGATCCCCAGGACGGAGAGGATGGAGATGCTCAACCACCAGAGCCAGAGGACCAGGAAGTACTTCTGGTTGAAGAGGTTGTTAGAGAGGATGCAGAGGTAGTTGCTCCGGTCTATGCTTCCGGTTGTAGCTCCAATACGGATATAGCACGCAACCTGAATACAACTTTTCTCATTTTTCATAAAAAAAAATCTTATTTAAAAATTATTTTGCTTCAAATTTTACAAATATTATCAACTTTACTTAGAGTATATTTTTTTACCTCGGTAGGGAAGAGTTCACACATAGGGTCATGAGTAAGATATTTTCCGTCTTCTCCAACATGCTTCACAGACCAGATATAATTCAGAACCTCACGCCCGTACCTAAACACAGACCAGATATAGTTCAGAACCTCACGCCCGTACCTAAACACAGACCAGATATAATTCAGAACCTCACGCCCGTACCTAAACACAGAGCAAGCTTTTTTATGATTTTCTTCATAGCAAGGATTTAATGCAAGGAAAGTTATTTCAGAGGTGTACGCATCTTTTGTACTGCAGTGTACTGCCACTGGGCGGTAATGTAGACACAAGACGGATGTCGAAGCCTGACATGGGATCCATCTTTCAAATAAATAATCAATGAAATATTCTGGTCATAGGAAACTATTATGCGAATTATCAAAATTATCAAAATTCAATGCTTTTAACCTTCTCGGATACTAAACAAACACTGATGAGGCATCTATTCTTGTTTACAAATTCCGCCCGGAGAGAACTGGTTTCAATATGTACGCAGAGTAAATGCAACTGCAATTAACTTTCCTTGCATTACATTCATGGTATCTTTATCAAATTATTTACTTGAATAAATTAACTTTAATGTCATCCTTAGAATTGGAGTTTTTTAACACTATCATAGTAAAAGTGTAGAAAAAGAACAAGAATCAGAAGTTTACAAAAAAAAGACATTTACAAATCAAAACTGTAAAAAAACAGTTAACTTACGTCCAGAATTTGCCGAGGAGGAGAGCATCGGTGATGACAACGCTGAGGAAAACCATGAAGAGGTTCAAGAACTCGCAGAACCCGAAGTAGAAATGGTAGCGAGCATAGCGAGGTCGGAAATCAAAGAAGTTCTGAGCAATTGTACTCGGGTCACGATCCTGAATAGGCAAATATGAAAATTTTGTTAAGAGAAAATAATTTTATAGTTTAAAATAAATATTTTGCTACTAAAAAAGAAATAATTTCAATTGTCAAGTGAGGACTGAGGATCAAGTGTCCTTGTAAAAATAACTATATATTTAAAGCTTTTATAAGAATTGTTCTAAATCAACGCCCGTATTCCCCTGATCCCAAATCTCTGTAAATATTACACCCTTCTCCCGATGAGTAGACCCCCCCCCTACAAATAAACATGTTTATAGAAATATAAGCTACAGTGTGTTTGAACATGAATTGTTCATTAATTTCAAGTGACCCTACATTTCAAAGTGGCGCCTGATTCACATCGGAACCCTAAAACCTTTGTCTGATCAATAATGTGGAAGTTTCGTCGTTTCTAAAGCTTAAAAAGTGGTTTTCCTCCGTTGATTTCGAAGCAAAAATTTCACAAATCATATTAAAGAGAACCCATAATTGACAATAATTTATGCTTAAAGAAGATATTCTTGCAGAGAAAGATTTAAAGGGAAACAGACGTTGTGAATCTGTGGTATTGGTTACCCTCTTTAAAAGGAGTCACTTCAAATTACATCTACAGTCCCTTTAAAACTGAACTTTATATACCTCCCTAAATATTTTTAGACTAGCCTTAGAGGGCGCGAACTTCTAAATTAATTGTGAACATGTTCTCTTTGTGTAAATCGTAAAACAAAACAAAAATAATTCGCGGATTTTCACAAAAAATTTCGTGGATTTTCAAAATTTTAAATAATTTAATGAAGATCGAATTTTGATGGAGACAAATATTTGAAATTTCGATCATTCACAAACCTTCCCTGTGGTCACGTGATGACCCACAAAAAATTTGGGCCCGATCGGTTCAGCCGTTTTGACGTTTATTGGATACAAACAGACAGACACCCAAACATACAAACAGACAGACAAGCCAAATTTATATATAGATTCTAGAATATATAATTAAACAAGACATTCGAATATATGTTCCCTATAGCTGACCAAACGGCTGGAACGAATGGACTGAAATTTTTTTAAGGAACAAATGGGTGCCCCGGGGGTTAACATGAGTAACTTAGGCTAAATAACAATTCGAAAATTTTTTTCTTAATTTTTTTTTATTCCACGGGCAACGCCGGGCCCTTCAGCTAGTTATTAATACTATTCACCAAATAAATTTTTTTTCTGGGGTGGGGGCACGTTTGCTTAGATCCCATTGCACGAATGCATATTTATAGATAACTAAAGATAAGATTTTTGAAGGTTGAAGACAAGAGCTGATAAAACCTGTCCAACAGGTTCAATTAGAACTTATATCATAATCATAGATTTTATTATATTGTCCTACACAAAAACATCGAACAGGAGATAATGTTTTTTCCAGAAGCAAATCAAAGTTATGTCCTCTCCCGTCCAAACTAAATTTATATTCATTTATAATGTTACTTCTTGACCTCATAACTTCAAAATTCATTTTTGTTTTCAATTACAGCTCTTCAGCAGGTTAATTTAAAAGTGTCTACATTTGATATCGAGATCAAAGTTTCAGATCAACGATATTATTAGTTAATAGTTTGAAAACATATTATGAAATCTACAGAAGTCTACAGAAATCGTCATATTTTCCACGTTTAATAACCTTAGAAATTGAATGATATTCTTGAAAACTAAATAATATTTTTATAATCTTTAACAGGTTTACTCGTGACTTTAAATTTTTAATTTATTTTTCAAGTCATTGAACGTTAAAAATAATAAAAAATGTTATCCCTGAAAAAATCTTTGTTTTATAAAGAAATTCTGTCTTTACATTAACCCTGTTATCTATATATGAGAGCTCTGTCGGTTTCTTTCAAGTTTAAAGGGATTGTAAGCGTACTTTCACTGGACCCTAATAGTTGGGAAGATAAGATAAGGGAAGGATCCATTTTCGAGGTTTAAATATTTTTAATATATTTAAATGTAAATGTAAATTTAAATGTATTTAATCATAGAATTTCTACTTTTTTCCTGCAGAAGAAATGCGTAGATCACTTTTGTAGAGAAACCACAATTGAAAATAATCAGTTTTCAAAATTATAAACATTGATATCTTAGTAATACTTGATCAGACAAAGCTTTGTAAATCGGGTATTGTTCCTTCCACCCCTCTAGATTGCGTTTGTTCACTATTTATAAATTTTCCAAGGAAGAGGCCGCATTCTACAGAACAGAGTAAAATTGGAGTTATAGCTGTTNAGAGGGAGATTTAGATGAGGGGTGGACCCGAGAGTGCCCCTATAGGTCCAGGGGGGGGGGGACTGATAAGGTGAAGGGAAGGGAATTTAAATAAAATTTATGAATCCTTCATTTCTGTGGGTTTGAGGTCAATGGGTTTCAGTAATCAAAATATTTGTCATGTTATTCCAAACATTACTTCATTTTAATTTAACTTTTCATAGGTACGAGAGATAGTAAACATTAAACAATAAAGAAGGGTTGTTGTAATGGGAAACATATTTTGCTGGTAAAGAAGAATTGGTAAAAAAATCTATTAAAAAAGTATGTATAAATGATAAGGATAAGACAAGTAATGTAAAATATAGTTAAAAATCGAAACATATTTAAGGATTTAAAAATGAAATCATATAATTAAGGCAGTATTAAGGCGTGCCTGAGTATGCCAAGGCTAATCAGGACTAATGGGTCCATATTTAAATAGTTAGCATTCTTTAATCAGGTTTTCTTTTGCAATTATCATACGACAGGTTTAAATTAAATTTTAGGGGCAATAATAAACAATTTATTAAGCTTTTCTATTCGTATCTACAGTACCTTGTCCTTAAGTTGATTTGACAAATAAACCGAATCAAAGCCGTTTTCAGTAAAAGATATAAAATGATTAAAAACATTTTTATAATTCTCCTAAAACTTTAAGTTCCATGATGTGCAAAAAGAAAATGAAACGTGAATTAGTCCGAGTCATTCTTGAATCTGAAATGCCAAGACAACTTAAACCATTTAATTTGTCTCATCTCGTGTATAACGCGCATTTTTTAGAAAACGTTAGCACAATTTTAATAAGAAAATGGAATTTCCTCAGGACTAGGTTTGTACTAGGTTAGGGACAAAGAAGGGGGGTGGGGGAGGGGGCAAGAGGGTTTCAAATAGTTAACTATTCGTAAATCTCATCTTTCAATACAGTCTTCAGTCTTCTAAAAACAATTTAAACTTAAATAAAATGTTGTTCCTGATCATGTTTCTAACCTTAAAAATGTTCCGATAATGTTCCGAACCTTTGCAAAATTACTGATTAAGTTTCTGAACTGAATAATCCTAACCTAAATTATGTTCCTGATAATGTTCCTGACCTAAATAATGTTCCTGATCATGTTCCTAACCTAAATTATGTTCCTGATAATGTTCCAAACCTAAATAATGTTCCTGATCATGTTCCTAACCTAAATTATGTTCCTGACCTAAATAATGTTCCTGATCATGTTCCTAACCTAAATTATGTTCCTGATAATGTTCCTAACCTTAATAATTTCCTGATCATGTTCCTAACCTGAATAATGTTCCTGATCATGTTCCTAACCTCAATAATGTTCCTGATCATGTTCCTAACCTGAATTATGTTCCTGATCATGTTTCTAACCTGAATTATATTCCTCATCATGTTCCTAACCTGAATAATGTTCCTGATCATGTTCCCCTCCAGGAAGTTCCTCCAGATGCTCCTGGGGAACTTGGCGAACCCGAAGCAGAATGTGAGAAGGAAGGGCAACCAGAGGTAGTATGCTGTGACAGGGGCATCCTGGGAATAATACAAAAAATTAGAAAATTCGTTGCGCTTCCCACCCTTAACTCTATATTTTAATTTACTAATAAATCTAGAGTGTAAAGATGAATAATTGAATACAGGTGCAAGGAATGTAAATAGGAAACGCTAAACAAAGGAAACTACAAAACTACCCCCCGGACCTATATCAGATTTATTCACTATGCACCATGCGCAAAGAATGCGTCCATAAACTTTTTATAGGTTTCAACTGCCGAGGTCCAAACTCAGAAACCTGTTTTGGAATCTCTCTCATTTCACCCTTCTCTCACACCCCTCTCACAGTTCTCTCTCGGCATAAATCCATACCTATTCACTTCCAGCCTTCCTTTCACTTCCCCTCCCATTTCACCTCCAATCCCTCCGCCTTCACTTCCAACCTTCCTTCCAATCCCAAACCCACTTCACCTCCAATCCCTCCCCATTCACTTCCAACTTTCCTTTCACCTTCCCCACTACTTCAACTCCACCCCCTCCCCTTTCACTTCCAATCTTCCTTTCACCTCCCCCCTTCAGGGACGGATACAGGGGGGGTCGGCGGGACATTCGCCCCCGCTGAAAGATTCAGGGAGTGGCGTAGCCCCCCCCCTGAATTTGGAATTTTTTGCTCCTATTTTCAGAATAGCTTCTCAATAGCATGCTTAAGGGAAGGAAACCCTAGTGCAAAACATGAAAAATAGCTGTCTTAATAAACTTTAATGTGTGAAAAGTTAAAAATCTAGTTTTTTAGTCTTTAGTCATTAATTTTAACTCTTTTTGAGTCTTTTAAGTAAAAACAAAATTTCACCTGCGCCGCGATTTTTTATTCCGAATTATGAATTTTTTTGTTCCTAAAAAATCTTCCCCCCCTCCATCACCTAAATCCTGTATCCGCCCCTGCCCCCTTCACTTCACCTCCAACCCCTCCCCTTTCATCTCCCTCATACGAAAACCCAATAATATTCTAATTTATTTTATGTCAAAACTTGATGCAATTTATGAAAGTTAAATTCTACTCCACGGCCGAAACAGACTTTACAGTTAACTCTCAACCCCTTTAAACCAAATTTGTGGTTTCAGTTTCTGACCCTTCTATCTATATATCTATTCTATTAACCTTTTGAATATCTGTTTTAANAAGATAAATGTATCAAATATTTGAGCAGAGAATAAAATGCATTTCTATCGAACCCATTAATTCAAAAGAAATTTAGTTTGAATATAAGAATAGTAATTAAGATATTACGATATAAGAATAACTCGGTAGAAATTAAGATTTTAAAAGAAGTAGGACTGTAGAAATTAAGACATAAGAGTAGCTATGTAGAAAATAAGATAAAAACAGTTGCTATGTAGAAAATAAGATAAAAACAGTAGCTTGTAGAAAATAAGATAAAAACAGCTGCTATGTAGAAAATAAGATAAAAACAGTAGCTATGTAGAAAACAAGATAAAAACAGTAGCTATGTAGAAAATAAGATAAAAACAGTTGCTATGTAGAAAATAAGATAAAAACAGTAGCTATGTAGAAATTAAGACAAAAACAGTTGCTATGTAGAAAATAAGATTATAACAGTATAGCTCTGTAATGATTATACTGAAAGAGTAGTATATAGAAATTAAGATTAAAAGACTTGTTCTGAAGTAATTAAAATACTAAGAATATCTCAAAGAAATCCAAAGAATGTTAGCAGGTGTTGAAAGTAAAAAATAAATCAGCAATTTTTTTCAACTTTATTTTTTTCAGAAATATGCTTCTAGTTTAGAAACAACTAAACTGAACAATTGCCTCAAACTCTAATTTTGTAATAATTGCATCTTTGCAACCTGATATAGTAGACCTTGATATTTTAAATTATGAATACTTTATAGATCGATTTCTCATAGTCAAACTTGGAAAAATCAATGGTTAACACAATGCAAAAATATATGGACTGGTTCAAAAATTAATACTATAGTTCCATATTAACAAGTTTTTGAAAGTATCTATCTAAAATTGAAGCATTAAAAGCCATGTTCTTCTCGATTGAATACATGGAGAACTTTTTTCAAGGGAATTGAGTCTGTGGCAAAATCGAAATTTCTATGCCTTCTTTCTTTGTAACTTAAAAGTGTAAGCTTTTGACATTTCAAAGTTAGATTTTATCCAACAAAATTCTTAGTTTTAAATATCAAGCTGTTTCCGAACTTGGGTTTGAAAGAATATAGGCATCAGAAAATCAGAATTTGTGACAAATACTCAATTTCATTGGTGGGAAACAGGTCAAGACGCTCTCACCTCTGGAGAATCAATTTTACTCTGATCAACGAAACATCCAGTAGCCTTTCCTTGCAGGTGAGGTCGGATATAGGCAGTTCCATGAATCCAGCAGTAGGACCTGAATATATATATATGATAGAAAAGAAAAGAGAAAAAGAGAGAAGGTAGAAGGGGAAGAGGAAGAGAAAGGTAGAAGGGGAAGAGGAAGAGAAAGGTAGAAGGGGAAGAGGAAGGCAATGGAACGTGGAAGGGGTAGGGAATGTAGAAAGGAAAGGGAAGGATGGAGGGGAAGAGGAAGGGAAGGGGAAGGTAGGGAAGGAAAATTGGAAGGCACATTCAACAACTTTATTATCAAAACAAATCATTCATATTACAGTACTTCTTTTCATCAATAATTCGATATAATGGAACAAAAAATTGATATTTTTTTCAAAAATTGATTTTTTATTTTAAAAATCCTTTCCTTGAATAATGATGAACCCCGGTTTAATGGTCATTGTTCCGCCTGAAAACTGTTTAAAATATTCCCAGGCAAGATTCAAGTTTTGCATTTACATAATTTTTGTCAATTTTTAGAATTATTCTATAACGATATTATTCTTGGAGTTATTTTAAATTTTTGATGAAAAAATACGAATTCAAACTGAATCAGTATAATGTAAAAAGTTGTTAAACTAAATACAGATTGTTAAACAAGTTTCTTCAGTGCACCCTTGGTGTGACCAAGAAGTACTTTACCTAACACCAAATAGATTATCAAGTACAATATGTGGCAACAGAGAAATAGACCAATGATACACGACGTCACAAGTGTCAAATATAAAAAGGAAAACGAAATTTTCTCCCATTAGTTGACAGGTTTTCCAAGATTAAATAAAAAAGTGTGAAAACAGAAAAAAAGGAACACATAAAATTGCACTTATTTTACTGTAAAATGAGCCTTTTATTCTAAAATTATCACTATTTTTAATACTTTTTTTCGGACACTTGTGACGTCAGAATACAGCTGTACTGAGAGTGTACAAATTCTACGTTGCCATCTATCTACTTCAATCTATTTGACTAAGACTGTTAACTCACTGTTCATTAAATCTGACAAAGCTGTAAAATTAAATTTCAAATATAAATTTTTTACAGGTAGATATATTTATAATTGACCGGTGTTATATATATAACATATAATATATCATATATATATATAAATATATATTGTTTTAAGAAGTAGTAGTTGTGTATTTGACCGGTATAACATGATAACCATGGTGTCAAATTTCAAAGGATGATAATCCTTCTCAGTTTAACGTCTTACAGGATAGAATCGTCTAAACCAGATGTAAAATAAAAAATGAAAACAGGGAATAAGATTTTTTTCTAATCCATGAAAGCCTATGATTAAAATATTTAGAACTAGGCTTTCAGGGCTCTTTGCAGCCATCTTCTATTTTAAATTTTAATTATTTCTCTATTTCAGTTTATTGGTTACAAACAAACAGACACACTATCAAGTATAGTATATATATAGATATATAGATAGCAAATAACTTCAAATGAATATGTAAACCAGGTTCAAAGATTAATTGCTAAGTAATGTTAAATGAATCAATTCGTATTTATAGTTGTAAAATATCCATCAAATACAAAAATTGTGAATTGTGATGAAAATGAAAACCAGGTTCAAAGATTAATTGATAAGATATAAATAAGATAAATGTATCAATTCGTATTAATAGTTGTAAAATATTTATCTAATACAAAAATTGTGAATTGTGATGAGTAAAAGTTAAACATATTTTATTGATTAGAATCGACAAAATTTTATATTTCAAATGGTAAAAATTGAAGAAGAAAAAATTCGAAATGAATTGAATTGATTAAATAATGTGGATGATATCAGACACTTCAGACATATAATTAATCACTTAATTAACTTCTTTTCAAAACACATCTTATCGAGAACCCCCCCCACTCTCTACGCCACTTTCCCCCCTCAAAACTGGTCCAGTAAAAACCAAGGCCCCGATGATAGTTTTATCGGAAGAGAAAAAGATTATAAAGTTATAAAAAATTGTCTACGACGTACAAATTAGATTACTTTTTATTGAAATATTTTAATGTCTGCATAATTTGATAATTAAGTTTTTAACTACTTTGCAGAATATAACTCGGGATCATATTTCGCCCTAGTCAATTACCCTGGGACAGCATATCAGCAATTAACACTCATATCAATAATTAAATTTTTTAATAAATTTTCAGAAATTTGCAAGAAAATTATAGAGATACACATGTTTAAAAACATTTACAGGAGCTGGGAACTTTAGAATGGGAAACCCTTAATCCAGACTGCTTAATCCGAATATCCAATGTGGACACTTTCAATTTCTTGCTTAATCCACTCTTTTTTGGATAAAGTAGAGAAAAATAAAAAATCTGTTTTTCAAAATTAGAGAGTCCCTTCCGTTTCTGTATATCAATCTTAAATGGCTTCATATACGTGACTCTGATTGGTTGAATTTTTTAAACTTTTAAGGATACAAGTACAAGATTAGATTAGCAAGCAACAAAGCTATAAAAGAATTTTTTTTTTACTTTTCGCAGAGTTTCTGGTCGATGATGTCGGTTTCCTTACCTGGCATACTGGTCTCCCCCCTGACAGATGATAGCGCGACCATCCAAATGATTTTCGAGGAAAATAAATAAGAGTCCGAACATAATCACGAATGTTGAAGCCTGAAAATAAATTTTTTTAAAACCACTTTTACTATTTTTTTTTCACAAGAAAAAGTCCTTTCAGAAGATTTGTATGCCCTAAAAAAAAGAGCCACATTGTTTTAAATAATATAATATGAATAAAGAAATGTAATATGCAGTTCAAAAACAAGACGGGGGGGCGGGGGGGAGGACTACTTAGGAGTTACCGCTTTGGTCGTTTAAATGGAAACCCAATGTAAACTTCATTTTCCTATTTACCATCGTGTACAGTGTACAGAATAAATTTACAGTGGACATTGTACAGTATAATTTACAGTGTACAGTATAAATTTACAATGTACAGTGTACAGTATAATTTACAGTGTACAGTATAAATTTACAGTGTACAATGTACAGTATAAATTTACAGTGTACAGGATAAATTTACAATGTACAGTGTACAGTATAAATTTAAATAATAAATGTACAGGTTTTATCAGAATTTCAAGCTGTAAAGAACAAATTGAATCTAGATAAAAATATAATTTAAAAACTTGGAAAATTATATTTTGCCTCAAAAATGGATGAAACTCGCATGATCTCATCATGAACACGAAATCCTAAATTTACAAATTTCTCCCCCATCAAATCTGATATCAGGATAAAACAGTTAAATATTAATGACAACCCTGTAATCTATGTTTTCTTTTTGCAAATTCTTAAAATCAAAGTGGAAATTTACTTTTTACTTTTTTTAGGGCATGTTAACAATTGCGTCGACTTTAAATGTACTACACAATGTACACTGTACAGTATGTAAAATATGTACAATATTTGTATTGTTTGACCTGATGATGAAGTCTGAAGAGTGGGTTGTCTATCGTCAATTCGTCGCCCTTGAACCATTTCAGCAAGTTACTGAACAAAAGTTAAACTAACATTTATGCACAAATATATCAAAGAGGGAAAGAGGGGAATAGGAAAGTTCCTTTTGCAGGATAAGTAAAAAATAACAAGACTAAAAGAATTGTGAATAAAATAATTTTATCAATATTATTGTTATATTTTTTTTTATGAGAAAAAGACAAAGAAAAGTTTGTAGAGATTTTTTTAACGAGTGAAGGTAGAAAAGAAGAAAATGTAGAAAACTATATTGATTATTAAAAGATTGCTAAGAAGAATTGCAGAGATTTTAAGAAAGATAAATGTTTAAATTTGAGTTAGTAAAATTCCTGATTATGGGTAATCTGTTGATAACGGGAGGAGCCATCCTTCTGCAAGTTGTCTGAAACAGAAGTTCATTAGAAACTTTTGGACCCAAGGGAATTATGAAGGGCCTTCATTACACTAGAGTCCGAATTTAATGAATTTGAGCCGCGTCTAAAATCCACCAGAAACCAGTTTCAATTGAGCGCCGGCTTAAATCTTGAAACATTGAACCAACCATATTTGAGCCGCGTCTCAAATTTAAGCCGCGGCTCAAATTCTTTAAATTCGGACTCTGATCTTATGAAGGCCCCCCAGAAGGTCAAAGGATAAGGACACTATTGCCCCCTAGAAGGTCAACGGGGAAGAAAAAAGGATAGTTACCCAGACTAGAGGGGGGAATAATTGAGAAAGTCTGCACTAAGATGGTTGACGGAGAAATGTCTCAATGGGAATTATCTTATGGGGGGGGGGAGGACAGGGGTGGAAGGAAGGAAGGGGGTGGCAAGGACACAGACTCCCTCGAAACTAAGGAACAAAGAGAAGTAAGAAACCCGAATCTTTTTCTTTTAAAAACAAACGGTTGTACGAGATCAACATATTTGAATCTTTTTCAAAAACATGATAAACTGTCTAGTTCATCAATTAAGACAGATAATGGATTTATAAAACCTACCAAGAGACATTTAATGGTAATTTAAAAAGTTTTACCCTCGTTTTACATTAGATTAATTATATTAAAACAGATTGCAATGTTTAGTTTGCCGTTTTTTGGCCCCTATAAAACCAAGTTTTTTGGGCCTTGCTCACTTGACCGGCCTAAACTTCTGCTTTTAAATAAACAACTGTACTTAATGATTCAACAAATTTTGTTTTAAAATATTTTTCATACAAGTGAGATGCGTAAAAAATCACAATTTTACCATTATTTTAGCAGGAGAGCATCCTACCCTATAACTGATTAAACAAATTTAGAAATTTATAACAGTGTCGTTATTTCCGACGATTTTTAGCACCTACTATTTTCAATGTTGATTGTTTATATTCAAAACCAATACTGCAGCCAATGACGTCATGTACAAGTGTACACTATTCAGATATATTCCTAATGCATATTCTTCTACTATTGGACCATCTTTGGTTGAGATAGACAAAAATATGTACAAAAAATGTATGTAAAGTACGAGTACTAGAAAATAAATTGTGTGTTTGTACACAAAACACAATATTTTATGATCACCCAAACCTTTAGAACTTGCTTAATTGTACCTGTCAAGGATGGCAAAGGCTGTAAACCTCCGATATTCACTATTGTCTAGATCTGAAAATATTTAATTTTTAAGCAAAAAATGTCGATTTTACAAATACAAATAAACTCAAAATGAAGTTTTATCATAGATTTATAAATACTTTCGATTTGTTGATTTGGGTTTGGTTGGGTCTCAATATAAGAACTTTCTCTGGAAGGATTGAAGACAAAGCATCTCTTCTCACAAAATAAATCTTTAAATTTTAAATACAAATTTTATAATACATTAGTCTATATAATAAGGTTTTAGGTGTATCTTTTAAGATTAAACACTTAAGCGTTCACTTTAGAGTTCTTGCAGGGTTAGGTTTGGGTTTACTCTGCTCTAGGTGGTCTTGAATACTACAGGTAGGATGATAAACATTAAACTCCAGGTACCTTCTCTTACTGATCAGATAGGTAGATACAGAGAACATAGGTAGAAAGATAGTTAGTACAGGTTGAAATGGTAAAGAGTGAGTTTTATAAAGAGTCAACTATAATTTCATCCAACACATTTTTAACCTTTTACATTTCTGTAAATTAAATTATTGTTTGTAGATTAATGTATAACGCTGTGGCTAGAACATGTTGAGATATCTGCATTAATAGAGTTTTATTTTGCTTTTTAAAGTATTTGAAGTTGTCGGGTTCGTACATTATATTTTTCAGGAGTATCGGAGTATCGGGGTCTGCTCCGGAGGATCGGAGTTTACTTCAGAGTATCGGAGTTTACTCTGGTGTATCAAAGTCCACTCTGGAGTATCGTACTCTACTCATTTGTATCGGAGTCTTCTCAGGAGTCTCGAAGTCTTCTCAGGAGAATCGGATTCTACTCCAGAGAATCAGAGTCTACTCCAGAGTATCGGAGTGTTCCATGGAGTATCAGATTCGTCACTGGAGAATCGGAGTCCACTTTGGAGTATCGGAGTCAAATTTGGAGTATCGGAGTCTATTCCGGAGTATCGGAGTTTACTCCGGAGTATCGGAGTTTGATTGAAGTAATTCATCCTGCTTCTCCTACTCCTGCTCCATTGTAGAGTTCTGAAGAGTAAATTCCTGAAATAGTTGGAATACCAGGATAGATTACTCTTCAGCAGGGAGATAAATATACTCCGTCCTAGCACATATACATACTCCTACTCCTTCAGCTCATATACATACTCCGTCCTAGCTCATATATATTCTCCGTCCTAGCTCATATATATACTCAGTCCTAGCTCATATATATACTCCGTCATAGTGCATATACATACTCCTTCCTAGCTCATATATATACTCCGTCCTAGTAGCTCATATACATACTCCGTCCTAGCTTATATACATACTCCTTCCTAGCTCGTGTATATACTCCTTCCTAGCTCATATACTTACTCCTTTCGAGCTCAGATCCATATTCCGTCCTACCGTATATACTCCTTCCTAGTTCATATATATACTCAGTCCTAGCTCATATATATACTCCATTCTAGTGCATTCCGTTCTAGCTCATATATATACTCCGTCCTAGTTCATATATATACTCCGTCCTAGTTCATATATATATACTCCGTCCTAGTTCATATATATACTTCTTCCTAGCTCATGTATATAGAGATGGGAATAGTTTTTTTTGGAGGAACGAAATTTTTGAGACCGAACAAAATTTTTAATAAAAAAGGTGTCATGCAGAAAAAAAATTTAAAATCGTTCGAACGAACTTGAAAAAACGATCGTTTTTTAATGAACAAACACTTTTCCAAAAGATTTAGAAAAAAACAATAGTTTTTACTGTACTGAACGAACGTTTTTTAACAAACTTTTTTTAAAACGATAGTTTTCTACTCAACAAACAGTTTTTTCGAAGTAATTATTGAAAAAATCACCATTATGTATTCCATTTTATCTAAACCTCTATCTGTTTAACAAGATATCGTCTTTTTCTGTATTAAAAGAATTGCTAAATTCACATAATTTCTTTTATTCTCTCGGCAGCATAAATCCGCAAGGCACTTTAAATATAGAATCCACAATTGAAAGAAAAAAATGTCAGAAAGAAAAAAAATATTTTTCATTGATTCTTGATCAGAGACAGGTTTAAAAAGTACCGTTGTTAATCGTACATGCTAAAACATTAATGGAGGGTCATTTGAAATTACTTGTCCAGTCCCTTTAAAGAGACTATATTTCAAGTTATGCCCTTATTTGGGAGTTTTTAGTGGTGAGAAATCAAGCTTGATATCGACAGATAAGATCTATATATTTCTCATTGTTTAGTTTAGATAATTCTTCTTATCAACGAGGTTTCTGATTTAAGCACATTTATTTGGTTGATATAGTCTACAGCAGGTGTTCTTGTCTAGACTCTATAAATACAATAAAACTTATTTTCTTCCATATTTCTTAGTTGTTTCCTATCTAAACTTTAAGTTCATTTTTCTTATCAAAATATTTCTTCACATTAGTTTAAGAATTAATTATCATACCAACATTACATTTTTTATTTCTAGATATTTTGGATGGACTTTGTAGTTTTTAGTTTATTTAGTCAAAATGGTTTTAGCAGTTTCCTACCAATATTTCTAGACACATTCTTTACAGTAGTTTCCTACCGATATTTCTCTACACGTTGGTTTCATCAGTTTCCCACCAATATTTCTAGACACATTATTTACAGTAGTTTCCTACCGATATTTCTAAACACATTGGTTTCAGTAGTCTCCTACAAATATTTCTAGACACATTACTTTCAGTAGTTTCCTACTAATATTTCTAAACACATTATTTGCAGTAGTTTCCTACTAATATTTCTAGACACATTATATTCATAGTTTCCTACCAATATTTCTAGACACATTATTTTCAGTAGTTTCCTACTAATATTTCTAGACACATTATTTTCATAGTTTCCTACCAATATTTCTAGACACATTATTTTCATAGTTTCCTACCAATATTTCTAAACACAATGGTTTCAGAAGTCTCCTACCAATATTTCTAAACACAATGGTTTCAGTAGTCTCCTACCAATATTTCTAAACACAATGGTTTCAGTAGTCTCCTACCAATATTTCTAAACACATTGGTTTCAGTAGTCTCCTACCAATATTTCTAAACACAATGGTTTCAGTAGTTTCCTACCAATATTTCTATACATATTGGTTTCAGTATAGTCTCATACCAATATTTCTGAACACAATGGTTTCAGTAGTTTCCTACCAATATTTCTAAACACATTGGTTTCTGTAGTCTTCTACCAATATTTCTGAACACACCGGTTTCAGTAGTTTCCTACCAATATTTCTAAACACATTGGTTTCAGTAGTCCTCTACCAATATTTCTGAACACACCGGTTTTAGTAGTTTCCTACCAATACTTCTAAGCACATCGGTTTCAGTAGTTTTCTACCAACATTTCTAGACACATTATTTAAAGTAGTTTCCTACCGATATTTCTAAACACATTAATTTCAGTAGTTTTTTTCCAATATTTCTAAACACATTGGTTTCAGTAGTTTCCTACCAATAATTTAAGTTGCATTGGTTCTAAAAAGAAATTTTGACAAGCTGCATTCAACCCAAGCCTTTCATGCCGCCGGTTCAAGCCACCTGTTTAAACTTTTAATCAAAGACATTTATCAACGCTTGAAAACAATTCAAACAAGAAAAAGCAGACTGCAAAATATGTATTTTCTATTTACACAAGGGGCAAATTTTGTCAGGCTATCTTTAATTATTATACGATACATGGTATGTCTGTTTGAGTTTATCCTGAAAAACGTCAAAACGGCTGAAACGATCGAGCCCAATTGATGTAATTATGGTATCTCGCATGATTGAAATTTGCCTATCGAAATCCATCATTATAAGCAGAAAAATATGCGAAATATTCAGTTTTCCCAGAAAGAGAAATGGTGGCTTGTTACTTAAAAAGGTGCGCAAACAGCCTTGAAAACCTAGTGAAGATATATCAATATGTCAAGAAACCCTTTAGAAAAAAGAAAATTTTTTGTGGGGGGTCAAACAAATATATTTAAAGTTTTGAATATCATAATAAAAAACTTTGCATAGAATTTTTCCCATCTTGATGCATATAATGGAGAGTAGCATGGAAGGTGGATGGGGGGGGAGGGAGAGGGGGTAAAGGGGAAAGGGAGAGGGGGGAAGGGAGATGGTGTAGGGGATTAGTGAGGGAGAGGGTTAAGTGCTTGATCACGATATATTTTGAGATTGCAATTTTCTAAAGGTAGTTCCATTAAACATGGAGGCTCATCTATTTTAAAAGACTCAAAGTTTGACATTAATGAAATTCCATTAATCATAACTATTGTTAGAAGAATATTCTTTTCAGAATTTGTTAACTTTATTGAAAAAATGTTGGCGTACAAGACCAAAAACTGGTTTCAAGTAAATATACATAAACCTACTTTTTTTTTATTGGTACTCCCTAGTCTCTAGATCCAATGCAGACCTATTCTTCATCTAACATCTGGAGCTAGTGCATTCAGCTGTCTAGCTGTCTAGCTGTCTATATGTCTATCTGTCTAGTTGTCTAGTTGTCTAGCTGTCTAGCTTTCTAGCTGTTCATCTGTCAAGTTGTCGAGTTGTCTATCTATATGTATGTCGAGTTGTCTAGTTGTCTGTTTGTGTAGTTGTCTATCTGGCTATCTGTCAAGTTGTCTAGTTGTCCATCTGAGTAGTTGTCTATATGGCTATCTGTAAAGTTGTCTAGTTGGCTATCTGTGTAGTTGTCTATCTGGCTATCTGTAAAATTGTCCAGTTGGCTAGTTGTGTAGTAGTCTATCTGTCGAGTTGTCTAGTTGTGTAGTTTTCTATCTGTCTAGTTGTCTAGCTGTCGAGCTGTCGAGCTGCCTAGTTGTCTATCTCTCAACTTCCCTAGTTTCGTAGTTGTCTAGTTGTCTACTCGGCTATCTGTCTAGTTATCTGTTTGTCAATTTGTCTATTTGTCTATCTGTCTATCTGTCTATTTGTCTATCTGTCTGTCTGTCAATATGTCAATCTTTCTAGCTGTCTAGTTGTCTATCCGTTTATTTATCTA